ATATTGATTTAAACACTACATTGCAAGAAGGATCCTTACGTCTTCTACTATTACATCTTTCTTCCCATAAACCTCTCTTAAACTTTGTTCATGATTGAGTAACAAACAACATATTCCTGTCATATGGTCAAAGTCGCGTGTAAAAGCTAGTAATTAATATTTATTGTCTAATTGGATGATCCACTATTTACGATTTTCTGTATTATTTATTATATTCTTTATTGCACTTGTAAGTTACATATAAAATAATCTATTTATAAATGTTGTGAGCAAGGGTGGACTTATCTCTGACAGAGATCTCTTCCAGTCAACCCAGTACAGTAAGAAAGCATTTCGTTAGCGGGTAGCTGAAGTGCTACAACTATTAATACATAAACAAATATACAGTTAAATAAAATATTAAAACATATAATAAAATATTACATAAATACATACAATACCTACCTACTTATATAATAAATGTTAAAATAAATGAATATACTACTTACATTAGAAAATACTTAACTTATTAATACTTAAATTATTACAAACTAGACAATGAATATGAAATTACTACCGAGAGTATTAACCCTTCTTTGCATGATTTTTTTTTATTGGTGTAATAAATCAAGGTGACATAATCATGTTCAAAATAAAAGAATAAAATTGTTAAAAAAATAAATTTGACAGATATGGTTTTTTTTGTATGGTAATAATGGTTATTTTATATAATTTTTGGGCATTCAATGTTATGATGAAAATTTCTCTCCCCCATTATGCAAAGAAGGGTTTTAATTTACTGCATTATTGAATAAAGTTATTTATAAAAAGTTTGCAGCGAATGGAAAACCTTTTGAAAGGAAATGTTTCCAACAATATTCCATTTTAATAGATTTATTTAACAATTTGTAGAAGAATACAATTGTTTCTATAATTATTTATTCACAAAATCCAAATAAGTATATTACAACTATTAGAAAAAAAATTGTCTATGCATTCTAGTTGTTTTTTTATCGATCGATATTTATCGATAACAGTACACCACTAGTTCCATTTTAATGTGTCGGTTTAATTGCCAAGTCGACGGGCATGACGAAAGGTTCTTCAAAAATGTGGAACATTTGTTTGGGCACGTATATTTGTTATATCTATGTATATCTATATTATATTTATCTACACATTTATATATTATTAACTTTTACCCGCGACTTCGTTCGCGAGAGTGGAACATACTGATTGATCAAAATAAATAGAAGCCTATGTCTTTCTTAATCCTAAACTATACGTAGATACCGAATTTTATATATAAATTATAACCATATATTATCCAAAGGTTGCCTGCAAGAGATCGCTCCTAGCGATAAGGTAGCCCATTGTTTTCTCATTGTGATTGTTTCTTATTATTATTTGTATCTATAATAAGTTTACTACTGTAATCTTTTCGAGGAAACAATAAAGAGTATCTATCTATAACGTAAATGAAGAGTTGTTAAGAAATCAAACTTAAATGGCTAAACCAATTTGATAAAAAACTTAGTACAGATATTTAATTTTTATTCTTATTGACGCAGACAAACTCGCGGTATACATATAATAGCGTTCCATTGTTATTGTGAATAGATGTGAATTAAACTTTATATATTATACAGACTATATTTCCTGCAGACTAGTCCTATTAATATAACAAGATAGATGGACATATGAATGGATGGTTCGTTACTCTTTTACTTAAAAAATACTAAACAAATTTGAATGAAATTTGGTACACGGATAGGTTATGTCTTAATTAAGCGCATAGAATATTTTACGTACTAATTCACGCGGTCGAAGCTGCGGGATACAGCTACTTTTAAAAAAATTCTACAACTGCCGTCTAATAAGAACTCCCGTTAATTACAATTCCTTCGAATCGAATCGTTCCAAATCATCAATCACGCTATACTGTGACTCCCGAAATAACATTTATGGTATAAAAAACGCATACAAAACGCAAGTAACCGTAGACCGATACATCACACGTCGTAAATGTCATTCAGTCCAATTATGCACGCCAACAAAACGGCGGAAGGTCGGGATAGAAGATAATGTCTGGACAGGTGTGAATTATTTAAAGTTGAGGCACAATTTAAACTATTATATGATTAGAATTAGCGTGTGGTCCGGTCACAGAATAGCCCACTTCTTCCTTTCTCGTGGCTGTCGTAAGAGGCGACTAAGGAAACCAGAGGGAGACTTTGTATAAAAGTCGATTGCTTGGGTACCTCTGTCCCATTCGTGTTTCAACCGTAAAGCCGTTGTGTTTACATGGCTGTGTTTCGGTTTGAAGGGTGGGATATGGCGTGAATTTACTGGGTACAGAGGAATAACACCTGAGTCCTCAGGAATGGCAACGCATGGGGGGTATCATGGGCGAAACAGTATACTCTGCTATGTCCATGGTACTGCTCATGTTTATAGGCAACAGTTACCACTGTCCATCAAGTGGGCCGTTAGCTTGTTTGCCATTCTAAGTTGTATGAAAAAAAATTGCGTGATAAATAATTATGACTGTTCCCTTTATAACTTCTGTATTTATTTTGTTTTATAATTTTTATATCTGTTTAATGCGTTAAACTCATTTTATTTGTTAAATAATTAAATATAGATACGTCAAGATACATTATGTGCGTGAGTATGTAGAACATTGATAAAAAAAAGAGTCAGTTACTTTGAGAATTAACTGACAAAAAGTTAACCCGTTTTTGAGACTAGATGCTCTATCTATATAATCTAAGGTTATGTATATTTTAAAACTTAATAAATAAATTGTATAATCGTAACTCCTATTTGACATTTACTCAATGTCCTTGAGATTTAATTATAATATAATTCGATTGTGTTAAAAGAAACTTTCAAAAACTAACACATATATTGTGTCTTCTCTGTCTTAGTCTACATATGATACCAGCATCTCTGGTAGAGGTTTAAACTCTGCTAATTCTAAGTCTGCAGATTTAAAAATACAAGGTACATAGTGAGTCCATTAAATTATATAAATAAAATATATCTATTAATTGCTTATACTTTATTCTTCTAACATCGTATAGTCAATCATAATTCATAGTTTTATTAAATTAAATAATATAAAATTACAGGGTATATGTATAATGTGTTATTTAGTCCTCAGGAATGGTAATGCATGAGGTGTATCATGAACATCACACTGTGTGACGATACGTAATATCCATGAAGCTGTTCATGTCTATAGGCTAGGGTTACCACTTTCCATCAGATGTTTGTCAGTATGTTTGTCATAACAAATTGAACATTTATTATGAATATCAACAGTTTCAGGACTGTCACATATTATGTTGTAACATTTGTCCTACGTTGATATTCCTAATTTCCGAGGTATTATACCTTATCTTGAAATTGAAAGTACAGGATCTTGGTAGTAAAAACACATGTAAGATGGATGTATTTATCTAGACGATTTTGTATAGTCTTTCTTACTGAATTGAACAATAAAATTATTAAATTTAATTTAATATCTAAAAATGGCTCCAAAAATGTACAATAACTTACCAGATGTGTTGTGTATCATAAGTAACATCAACTTATTTGAAAAAAGCATTATAGAATTTTTGTTATTTATAGTACATTACTGCAGCGGCCAGCAACTGAGGCATTGATGGACGAATGTACAAATGTGGGCCGTAGGCGTAGCCGAGGCACACATACGTGAGTCCATCAATGCCTAGTTGTGGCCAAGGCTTGTATAGTACTTTTCTCAAACAATGCGCGGAAATCAAAAACACAATTTTACTTTTTAAGTTCAATGACGAATAACGAACAATAATTTTTCACGCGCCATAATGTTCCTTTGTTTTTTTTTCAATAAACAGCTTTCTATTTGCAAGCCAGTTCGAAATTTAAATAAAACATTTTATTAGTTACCTCCTTGGTAGCCATGTTTCGAAGTAAAAGGTCATTCTATTTTTAAATTACAGGACAGATATGAGTTTACATAGTAATTTATCTGGCCACAAAACACGACAGATCTGGAGTTTCATACAACTTTTGCCGGCCGCTATCCGCATATATCTGGTCAGTACGGCAATTTTGATTTATCTCGAAGAAGACTGTCAAAATAATGCTTACATTTCCAAGCATGTTTGAGAAAAAATATATTATTCTGTGACCGACTTTTTTACCACTGAATTCAATAAGAGATTTAAATTAAGAACCTCTCAATTTAATTGTATTTTTTGTTAGTTATTATGATTATCATTAGCTAACAACTTCGTTAGTTGTAAATTGACTTACAAATTTTTATTATTATCTGAATGTCTGTCGACCAGTCAATAAGTATATCCTATACTTATTGACTGGTCGCATAAAAAAATATCAAAATCGTTACAGTAGTTTAGTTTTTAAACGGAAATAACTGGCTTTGCCACAACTGAAGCTGTTTTTTTTTTCATTTTTTTATGGAACATAATCTTATAAATGATACTAACATGGGATACGTATACGAATTGTTAGTCCCCTTTCATGTTTTGAAAAAAAAAAACTATTATAACTTACATAATTGTGGGTTGTTGGGACAGAATAGATCTCTTTTAAAGATAAGTTCACCTTTGCTCACACCATTTCTAATATTTGTGACTATTACTGTATTTCTGAGTGCAATAAAGAATATGGCGTATTCTTTATATCATAATTTTCATTACATAGTTTTAAACTTAATATTAAAATAATTATGTTTTGTATGATTATAAGGTTGATAATATAAGATTAATTTGTATTTTAAGACCATATGTATGTAATTATTTGTATGTATCTACCTATTAGTCACAAACTAAAACAATTGATTGATTTAATAAATATTACGCAGGGCAAATTGAAACTGACATAAACTGTTTGACTATTTGTTAAAATTAATCATGTTCACAAAAACATAAGGATTCTCTTTATACATTTATTCGGCAGAGTATATTATACGAAAGAGTGGATAGGACATTGAATTAAAAATTAAAAAATAAGTGTTAAATAAATTTCTTTTAATAAAAATAACAGTTTCTACTTATTTTCAGATAATCTGTTAATTAAAAATATTATATTATAAAAATTAAAAACTCCAAACTTGAAAGGTCGAAAATATCCCATACTTTATTTATATGGACATTTTAGTGAATTATCGGTTCTTTTTTATATTCTCTCTTTTTGTGCCTGTTTATTTATTGTAATTTATGTGTTATAAATAATACAAATAAAGAATCTATCTATCTATTTTCTCAAGTTGTTTGGGAAAATATTAATATATAATAGTCAGAAATATTTTGTCCCTTTCGTTTGTTGTAGTGATCTTTAATTGGTCATTTTTTTAAAGAATTACTTATTTTTACGATGATTAATATTATTTCTGGTATTAACATCATAGAAAAGATTAATAGTAAAAATGGTTTCTGTAAATCTATTTAAAAAAACTTTAACTCAATCAATGTCTAATTGAAAACGCATAGCCAAATCAAAATTGTAAGTTACCTATATGCTACAAAAAAAAATTAAATAAATAAATTAACCTCTTAAAGAACGTATGTAGTTGATTGTACTAAAATTGTTGTTAAGAAATGTTATTGGATTGGTGTACACTTGCAAGACGCTGATGAAGTGTGACGTGGTGAGGATAAAAACTTTATTCTTATAAATCGCCATAATTTCCAGGTTGAAATGCCTGATGGTCGACAACTGCTTTACAGCAAAAACACGAATGAGACAGATACCCAAGCAAATGATTTTGATACAAAGTCTTCCTCTGGTTTATTTGAGGGAAAAAATTAGTGATCTTTATAACTGTAATAAAACAGTAAATTTTTAGATATTTATCTATGTGTTAATATTTGTTTCCTCATCACTGTTGTACCAAATTAGATGCAAATTTTACGGTTTTGTTCCTGAAAGTCAAATAGTCTTAGTAATAGGCACTCATATAATCTAATTGTAACTACACGATCTCTGTACATGAGAGATTTAAAAAAAAATATAAGCTGTCTTAATATAATGCCAAATTATTTATTAATCGAGATTGCTATATTATTTATATTGCACATCTTATTACTAAATATATATTTTTATATTATTATTTAAATGGTGCAATAAAGAGTATATAAATCAATGATTTATGAAAATTTAGTTTGACTTTCCGTCTATTTGTTTGTTCCGTGTTTACGCAAAAATTACTGTATCAAATTGGATGCGCGCTTCACAGTTGTATTTCTATAGGTGTAACCTAAAAATTGGTAATATATTTTATCTTCATACGCCATTTATGGTCTATTCCACTGACTTTTCTACTTCTGAAATACACGTACTAATAAGCTAGCCTGTTTGTTTTTACTAAGATAGGATATATGAAGTAATATCATATATAATATAGAAATAACAGTTACGTATATTTAAAAAAACAAAGAGTACGAAGTCGCAGACAAAAAAATTAAAAATATTTTTACTGCAAATGACCGTTTCGCTGCTAAACTCCACGTCCGCTGTCGGCCATTTTGATGACCGAATTTTTAATTACCCTTTCTTATGATACCGCGCCGCCATTGGCCGATTCTGTTCACCGTGTTCCGAATATGTTTTTGCCGGTCAATTCTTGAAACGAAATTAAGTAAATTATAATTTGAAATGTTTTAATTCGTCGCGATCGCTTGGGAAGAGATTTGGGGACAAATTGGATGATGGTTATGTGCGGTACCCTTACTTACTTGTGAGTATTATATGTAAGTAGCTTTTGGTTCTTACTTAACAGTACTATATCGGCTGTATCAATCGTCATAAAATTTGTTTCATCTAGTATTTTAGGTTAAGAAGAAAATAATTACTTTTTATCTTAGTCAATCGCTATGTTGCAAACGAAGCTACATGTTTACAGTACTAACTCTAGCTACTTTATAATAGCTATATACCACGGCTTCGCCTGTGTAAATATTAATGAATAGTTAAACGAATTTGAAATGAGATTTGGTACAGACGTAGGTTATACTCTTACTTAATTCATAGGATAAGTAAGTAAGAAGATAAGTTTTATATACTTGTCACGCGTCAAGTTCAAGTTGATTGTGAGTAAGGAATGTATGTAATTGTAAGAAATATGTATTCAATATAAACAAAAACATTGATACAGAAACTATTTCATTATTGTAAAATACTTTTTTTTTGTTTCTACGATAATATTGTTTTTTTTTTGTCTTTTCACAATACATGCATGTCAATATTTAAATTTTATTCTTCTGGATCAAAGTTCCTACAAATTTATCAACAATAAAAACCAGCGACCAGACAGGAGCTGAATACTGTGCTGAGATTTTAACTCATAATATTTGTTCTCAAATAACAGAAAAAATAATAAATTAAATTCAATATTAATAAACATTAACGATAATAGAGTAGTAACCTCGCTGCCTGTTACTGCTATGTTGTTTTTTTTAATGGGTGACAATGGAATGGTAACCCCGCCTGCGCTATTGGTAACGCTGGTGGAGGACTAGTGATAGATGATAGGTGAGCATGAAAGCAGGTCAGTAAGCCCATCGTGAAGAATTCCACCAGAATTAACCACGATAGTTTCCAGGGGGAACCACGGTCGACCTGATAGGGTATATTGCCAGCAAGGGGGTAGTTAGACCCCATTACTAACAATCTCTTCCCCCCGGTTTATGTTGGTTAGGTAATAGGTGAGCTCTGTCTGATACTGAGCCTCGAACATAATCGACTCTGATGATGGTTTGAGTAACATCATAATTGGTGAAATAACTAAATTAGAGCATTTTATCAACCGAGTTAAAAAAAGGAAGTTCTCAATTTGGTTGTATTTTTTTTGATGCCTCATAATTTTGTCAGTTATAAACTGATTTGGGAAATTCTTTTATATCTGAAAAGATATACCTTAGATCAGTGATTCTCAACCTTTTTTTTGTTGCGGCACATATTTAACGATTTCAAAATTTGGCGGCACACAAAGAAAAAGATAAAAAATATTTACTTACTACAACACACTGCATAAATAGTTTATGACAAAAATTTTAAATATTTGCAAAATTTGACGGCACACTTTTAAAAATTGGCGGCACACAAAAGTGCCGCGGCACAGTGGTTGAGAATCACTGCCTTAGATTGTCCCAAAAAATTTATCATAGTCAGTTCAGTAGTTTCTTTTAAATCAAATTAACTTGTTTTGCCACATTTGAAATAGTTTTTTTTTCTGGGTTAAAATCTTAAAATATCCAAAAGCTATTTTTCATTACATACTTTTAGGAACGGACCTTGCCTTATATCAATTGCCAAGATAACAAATAAAATTGGTGGCCCGTCCCTTATAATTAACTTGCTTTCGTATCAACACTTTTTCTTCAGCATCCATCAAACTGTATTCTCAGAATCGGTGATTTTACAATTAATGTAGGTACTTGAATTATATAATATATAATCCAATACGAAACTCGGGTACGTAATATAAAACATTTCTAAAGAATAACTATCGTAAGTTGTATTGTATTGTGCCTTATACTAATACTAGCTTCAATCCACAACTTTGTCCGCGTGACCGAGATATATTCACGAACCGGGATAAAAAGTAGCCTACGTTCTTCTCCATTCCAGAGGGAGACTTTGTACAAAAGTCGTTTTTTTATACAACTTAGAATAGCAAACAATCTGACGGCCCACCTGATGGAAAGTGGTAATCGTCGCCTATAGACATGAGCAGTACTATGGGCATAACAGAGTATACTGTTTCGCCCATGATACCCCTCATGCGTTGCCATTCCTGAGGACTCAGATGTTATTCCTCTGTACCCAGTAAATTCACGCCATATCCCACCCTTTAAACCGAAGCACAGCCGTGCAAACACAATGTTTGCTTGGGTACCTCTGTCCTCTAAAGCATGTTTGAAAAAGAATAAGAAATTTTACATGTTTTTCCAGCTATACCAATTTATCAATTACCAAATAATCTAGACCAATTTAAGACAAATATTACAAGATTTGACATTTCAGTCCACTACAGTAATGTAAATTTAAAATTTGCTTGTATTTAAATGTATTGAGAAATAGCTATATAAAATTATTAGTTTAAAATAGTCTTGCAATATAAATTATTTTAAGCGATAGTGACATCTATCGTCTAAGTGGAACAATAGTAATTCTTATGAGCATTCAGTATCCTATTTAGTCTACGGTTGTATTATAATAATTACAAAGTTAGTTACTAGATGTCAGGAATTACAATTAATTTTATGTTATTAAATTGTTTACAAAATCATGTATATTTATAATGATTTTCAAGGCTTCGTTAGAATTATTAAAATAATATTTTACAAAACAAGTATATTATTTATAGGGTTACATACTCAAAAATACTATAATTACCTAAGTAGTCTTTATTAATATTTTAAGTGATTAATTATTATCTACTGGTTACACACGCGGTAGAGAATGACCAAAAATTATTAATTAACAAAGTTAATGATTTCTGTGCCGTTAAACAACTGTGCTAGCATAGCTGTGGTTTACTTTGAAGATAGTGCATTTACTGGATAAGGAGATGCATTTTTTCTTCGGAATTGCACCGTATAAGAAGCAGTTCAGCGGTTCAGCATAGTATTCTGTGCTGTTTACATTACGTAAGCTGTCAGCTTATTTGTTACATCCAGTTGGAAAAAAAAGTAAAGATTATCGAGGAGCCAGTATACCAATAATTTCCGAATACGCAACGTTCTCCCTTTGAATTGGTGTGTGTCTTTTTGCCGCGTTCAGCTGTAATTCAGCATACTGTACGTTTATAGGTTCCTGGAAATAAATATATATTTTTAATTTACTAGCAATATATTACAGATTCTTTCAAGTGGTCAATGATTATAAGGATATTTTATTATTTTATGATATAACTCAATCAGACTATAAAACTCCATGATGATTTATTCCAAATAAATTTACCGTGATGGGCCAACTGACCTGAGGGCCTACCATGAAATGTTTTCCGAAATTTCGGAGCCAAACGAAACAGAAATTTGATGTTAAAATTACATAATACATGCCGTTTGGAAATATTAAAAGTGTTAAAATATTGTTCCTTTGGACTTTTATGATAGAATGTATGACGAACGAAATGTTAAACTCCATTTATAGGTTCGATTTTGGTATAAACAAAAACACGAAATTGAGTCCGAAATTTCGGAATTTCATTTCATGGTAGACCCGCTGAACTTATCCTCGCCTATTATGTCTATTCGTACCACGCCGATAGCGCAGACGGTGTACTCGTATAGTCTTCAAAGGAAGGTTAGGCTAAAAAGTTAAGGACAAGTTCTCATCTTTGTAATTTGACTGAGTAGAATATTACCATACATCTAACAATTTTATAATATATATGTATGTAACTAGGTATGCATATTTATTACAACTCCGTTCACATTTAAAAATTTAAAAACGGGCAGATTGTTATCTTGCTATTAAATCGTTTATCATCATGAACATATCAGTCGTTAACTGTCCACTGCTGAACATAAGCTTCCCCATAAGTTGGAGTTTGCCAATAGTTGCCACATTTGACAGGGGGGTTGGCAACCGCAGTTAGGATTTAGCGATGTTTTAAGAGAGAGGCTGCTGCCCATTCCTTGATTATTAAGTTCCCTTAGTCGCCTCTTACGACACCTAAAGGTAAAGGAAGGGCTAGCCCATTCTATGCCTGGGTCACCAGGTATATTTATAAAGGTATTTATAAATGTAAAATTGCAGCTTAATTGCATCATTATCATCATTTCAGCCATGGTCTGTTCTCTGCTGGACATAGGCCTCCCCCATGGACTGCCATAAGGAAAGTCAATTAATTGCATACCAAAAGTAATTCTAATTCAGCTTGCAAGATTTCAACAAACAAATTAACTAAGTATTTATTTAACATACATTGTAAGTTAAATAAAAGTTTGCAAAAAGTACATACGCTATATACTGCTTCTTCTTGTGAAGGAACATTAACTGTAACGTTTTTTCTTTTATAAAAATACCATAATGCTATGGTTATAAAACCCAGTAAAAGTACTGATATATATACCATGGAGAATCCTGTAAACAATGAAGTGATGAATATAGTCATAGATATAATTTCCTCCCGTATCATGATGTGTTTTTACACTAATCACAAAATTGTGTAAATTAGTATTGTTTGACCATCTTAAGACATTGAATAGAATTTGTTCCGATAACAAAAAATAGATCCAGTAGGTAGTGAAATGGGACAAAACAGTTTTTCCCGGCTGGGTAATAACAATATGAAAAGAAAGAAAGAAAACATTTATTGGCAACAACAAAAAGAGTTACATTAATTACATATAAAACGTCACGTAGTTAAACTGTACTAGTGCAGTAACTCGTACATTACTGCACTGGCTGCAGGAATCCGACACACAATTCAAGAAAAAGTCCATACACACCTTATGAATTTACAAAAACGGTAATTAAAATATATGTATATTATAATTTTTTATGTTTATTAAGTATACCTGTTATTCGGATTCTTCGTTATTCGGGTACCCACCCGAATGTAGGTAATGAGAAATCCGAATATTTGTTCAATATAAATAATGAAATACCGCGTTCGTGAACGTTCTTTCATTCAAAATGTCGAGAATTCTTTTGTACCATATTATTATTTGGTCAAAAAAAGTTATTCAAATAAATAAATGAGGAATATGCTTAAAATAAATAAAGTAATAATAAAAATATATACAAATGGAATTTATATCATTAACATATTTTTAAGGAAGTGTTCTAATAGTGAAATTGAACATTGTTCCCCAATAAACATGGGGTGTAAAAGGAAAGAAAGATTTTGATCCTGCCATATTGTTAGGGCGCGCCTGAGGTCCAAATCTTTTCATAATTTTTGGATATGTGTCTCCTTGTGTCCCCCACTCTCTCCCTAAATATGGCTATGTTTAAAACTATAGCACAGATAATATAATACTTGCTAGATTATAGTATTATTAATGTATTTCCCAACAACAGTTATTGTTGTCTAATAGAACGGTAAATTTCTTGTAACAAAAGTTAAAAGAAATCTAATAAGAATAATAATTACCTTCACTGCTGTCGTCGTATAACAGTATGATATGTTTTGAAATGTTTCGTCTGTATAATTTTACAGAGTTTTGAAAGACTATGGAATAATATAAACATATCATTTCTGTATTATTATCTTGCACGCGCAACGTATATGTAAAAGGATTTAATTTATCAACTCGACTTACATTTAAAATTTTGTTATTGTCTGAAACAAATATACGTCATTAAAATAACTCAAATATAAAGCTTCTAGTAACAATAACTTATATAGTAACAAAATTGTTTGAAATGATGCCCACAATCGCCTTTTATCATCACGTTTTTTGGTGAAATACAATCTTAAATTATTATTTTTATGGGATTTTTTTTTGATGGGTGAAAATGGTATGGTAGCCCCGCCTACGCTAACGGGATACACTGGCGGAGCACCAGTGAAGGGTGATAGATGAGAATGAAAACAGGCCAGTTAGCCCATCATGATGAATTCATCAGGACGTAACCATGATAGTTTCCAGGGAGAACCGCGAGGAGGTCGACCTGGGGGTATATTGCTAGCAATGGGATTCTCAGTCTCCATTACTACAACCCCTTTCCCCCCTTATGGGATTATTATGAAGTAGTAACTCCGTCTGCGCTATTGATATGTCCTGATGGAGAAACAGTGAGAGATCAAAAATAGGCACGAAAGTAGGTTAGTCAGCTTATTGTGACGAATTCAACAAGAATTAGTCATGATTGTTTCCAGGGTATTCGATGTGACGGGATATATACCTATATACTCTATCCTAGAGACTTGCTAGCTAACAATGGGATCTCTAGTTCTCATTATTAACAATCCCTTCATCATTATTATATCAGCCGTTAATTGTCCACTGCTGAAGATAGGTCTTTTCGAAAGAAGGTTTCTTTAGCTTAACATTATTTTTAGATGTGGGTTATAACAGGACAAACAATATCTGTTATTACTGTTACTATTACGCAATAATTACAGGTACCAATATCTGTTATTAAATAACATGAGTTATTTTTTTTTTAACCACGGCCCATTAGGAACAAAATAACATACAAATTTTAATTAAAGTATTATATAAAGTTAAGAATTCGATTTTTAAAGAGGATTTCTTCTTATGAAACGACATACTTTAATTTTGGTTTATTTCAAACAAATACTAGGTGTGTCTCGTTTTAGCTTATGACAATATTATACAAAAGACAAAGACAAGAATAGCTGTTTTTTTTTTTTATTGGCTGTTCTGTTATTTCAAGCTATGTTAGTGATCGGCTGTTATCGAATACTGAAAATGTTGATTGTTGATAGTGGTTGAATAACTTAAGTATGGTGAAATAAAAATGATATTTTTTAACAGATATAATGACACCGCAAGAACAACTGTTATCTGTTATCTTCGAATACTTGTGATTTATAACTATAAATTCGATATATATTGAGGTAGTATTGTAGTAGTTTAGTAGTGTAATGTCGTAGTTATGATAAATATGCCTCACTCCTAATTATTTTTCATTAGACCCATTTACCCACCAGTATATTCCTCATTACCACTAGTAGTTAAAAAATTAAATATGAGTACTCACTATCGACTTGAATAATAATCTGTCCGTGACAAGTACTCTTGTAAACGTCATTCAACTTGTAATATGTTAGGTTTTTATTGATTGAATCATTTGTTACCCTATCTGAAAATAAAAAAGTTATATATTCTAGTTAGAGGTAAACAAAGACAATTAAATTTATTTTTGTTAAATATGCAATTGTATATTGTATGTGTTTATAGTTTGTTTTTTTTTTTAATTCATGTAGATGTGGGGTAGACTTTGAGATGCCATTTCTGTAGACTTATCTCTTAACATAATTTGATGGTTTCGTGAAATTACTGTTTACCATCATATTCTAGATTTATAATAATTTTGACTTAATTGTTTTAGAAATTTAGTTCATATTTGTCCTTAAAATAAAGGTTATGCTGCGATATCAAATTGAATTTTAGAGATAGATTTTGAGACATGGCGCCTCAGAATCGACTCCAATATCTGTGCCTCTAGTAAGAAAGGATTATAAGTCAAGTTGTACTCTTTTTATTTTTTGAAGCCATTACAGATAAGATTTTTTTTTTATGGTGCAGGAAATGTGAGGATATCTTTATAAACAATAAAGATACACACGTGCAAAAAATTACAAGGCATTACCAGGCTATAGCCTAGTATTAACTTCCTGAGTCCTCAGGAATGGCAACGTACTGGTATCATGAGCAAAACAGTATACTCTGTTAACAGAGTGGACATAAGTCTATGGGACTGCTCATATCTATAGTCGAAGCTTACCACTTTCCATCAGGTGGGCCGTTAGCTTGTTTGCTATTCTAAGTTGCATAAAAAACTGTTCAGCGCGCAGACCAACAGTCCACGATTGAAAAAATTCTAGTAAACTAACCAGCTATATAAATATTATAGTTTAATGTTCAAAATAACCACATTAATTGACGATTATTTTTGTCGATAAAACTCGATTTTTTAAAATGTAATGAGTGCTTATAAGACTTTCGACAATAGTTTTATAATTGTTATTATACAGAAAAAAATATATCAACTACGTACTTACTTTTTATATTTGGTTTTACAGTTATATAAAGTTTATTTTTGTAAACATTATTGATTTTACCAGCTTGTATTATTTGCTCACAGTTTATAGACGTGTTGTTATCAAAATCATACAATATCATGTAGACTTCCAGATTATATAAAGCTTCAAACATATTATTGACTGTAAAAAAACTGTATACGGAATTAAAAAGTATCAGTAATATAAATTGTCAACCAGCGAAATATCTAAGAACCAGGAATTGTATCTAAGAACAAGGAAAAATCTTTTTGATCTATACTGATAATGTAAAGAGGAAAGGTTTGATTGTTTGTTTGTAATGAATAAAAATAAAACTTGTCGACCAATGGTAAAAATTATTTCGCCTATATAAAGCTATCAGTGAATAACATTACACTATATATTATTTTCAAATAGTCTAGCCACCTATATGAAACCGGGACCGGTTAAAATATATAACAACCGGACCACTAGTTAAAATATATAATAATTTCTTCTGCATATTGTTAATTTATTTGAGCGCGCCGATATTTCGAGACTGTTGCGAGAATCATGATAATGACGTAAATACTAGTTTAGTATGAACTACAATTTTACGATCCCTCTTAGGTTTGACAGTAATTGGGTAGGTAATATAGAGCAATATCTATATATTATATTTAAAATATTTATATATTGACCCAATAAAATAAATATTAAATATCGGTTATTCATCACCAATTGAAACCAAATGAAGCACCCATTCGAAATGAATATAATAATGTAAATATTCGAACGATGTTGAGCCGATTTTAACTCATTACAATTATAAATCATTATTTATATCATCAAATAAATGCCATTCCCGAATAAAATGTCTTTTGTTTTGTTATGTTAGGAAACATAACAAAATACCATTTGAAAGATGGCAGTAAAATTTTACTGCCATCTTTTAAATCAAAACACTCAATCAAAGAGTCGGATGGACGTACTTTTTTGCACAGTCTGTCTGTATTTCTTTCTCTCTCTCTCTCTCTCTCTCTTTCTGATACACACATATATTTTAAACGTTAATTTATGCATAAATATATATAAATATTTTAATTAAATTGTTACCAGATTGTTTTCCAAAATTGAAAGTTAGCGAACACTTGATAGTGTCGCGTTTGTTTTTTGTTTTTCTTATTAAAAATGTGTGTTGTACAGCTTGTCCTTTAACTCTTTTACTAAAGAATGATAGATCATTTTGTGAAGCAGGTTCTGCAACAATTATTTGAATTGAATAAAAATTAATAAAAGGGCGAATTATAAATACTATTCCCTTTTTTCACTTTTTCTTTAAACTTAATCTTTTTGATTACTTTGTTTGAATTATAGATTTTTTTTTAATTTTTTTTATATTTATTAAAGGTATACACAACAGGTTACAATCAATAACATTATAGACATTATAATAATAGATTGAACTAGATTGAGACCCAGACAGGTATACACACAGCATGGTTAAAGCAGTCGGCAAACAATGTTAAATTATAAAGTTATATAAAGAAAGCATATGAATTTGGTAAATAACAGTGAAGTACATGCAAATAATAAAAATACATAAAGATATGGACATGTCAAAGAGACTTGATGGCTGATTGTAAAATGCTTTTGAAGGTGTTTAGACGTGAGTTGAAGATATCAATTTGAGGACATTTAGCTGAAAATTCATTAAAAGTACGACACATACGGATAAGCGGGTTATAATACGATGTATTGTTCTTATAAACGCAGAGTGCAAATGTTTTAGGACTCCGTGTTATAGTTTTTATATGGAAGGTCAAAGCAGAGAGTAGAGAAGCCGAGTGAATTTGCTCATCTAACACAATTAATTGTTAAAGTAATATTTATTATATGTATATATTTATTTAACATATTATGAGTATGTTTATATTAGTCTAATCGTATGTTTATAATGTATGAATATATTAAGTATTACTTTGTTTTTTCTCAATGCACCGCCTACGTACTTCTCGGTTTACCCAATGATTGACTGGTAGAGAACATCGTCTATGTTAAGTACGCCAAATGTACGTGCATATAAGTTTAAATAAATCAATGATACTGTATATTTATATATCTTTTTCTTGTACCTTTCCTGTACTAGATTACCTGCTAATTATTTTCTATCTCTTTTAGAGATAAGCACGCTTGCAAACAAGTAGTAAAAATAAGCGCTGTACCTTATCTTAAGTGCAATAAAGAATATAAATATATATATCATATCCTATCATTATATCCCATATCTTATCATTATATCCCATATCCTATCATTATAAGACTTTTTAATGAAACAAATGAAATGAAAGATAAGCGAAAATATTACAAGCATTTAAGTCAATTTTATTTTAAGAATATTTCCACAGGTGATTCCGTATAGGATTTCAGTTAGAGTTTTGTTTCATTTAGTGATGTATGATGATTTGTATACGTCTATTCTTAATATTTCACTTATTTACAAATTAATATTTCAATATAATTTCAATTCAATGATTGTAAAGATTACTTCTTTGATCATTGTAAAGTGTGACGTGTTGAATACGAAGTTTCATTAGTTTAGTGTCTTGTATTTTTGTCAATAAAAAATAAATGCAAGCTACTGACGCCCTTGTTATTTCCATATACTTGGGTAAAGTAAATAAAATGCATAATACGGCTTTAAACGCTTACCAATACATCTATTTTTCAAATCTATTGTTATGTTCCGGCTCATTTGTTTATATTCTGTAAAAAAAATAAACACATGTAGTTTTTGGATGCATAATGCAATTCTGATTAATTCTTAATCTATGAAAATGTGAAATGATTTTTAAAATGTGGCAATTTAAAGGTTTTGTTTCACTTACTGTACGATAATATATGTTTTTAGAGTACCAGTAACGGATTATTTAGTGTAGATGAAAGCAATTCTGTTAGCTTATCGTGACGAATTCATCTAGAATCAATATCATCATGGTTTCGAAACGAACACGCGTGTAGGACAATGTAACGTTAATAGTGGGGCCACTAGTTTCTATTAATAACAATTCTTTCATCCTCCATCCCCGTCACACGGTGCAGGATAAACTTACCCGAATGGCTTTAAAATCAGTATCGACATTGATTTACGCGGTAAGGAACTAAGGGAAAGATTGTAATACACAAGCGATGCGGAAAACTATCGGCCAAAAGCTAGCTCACTGAAGTTATAAAATGAGTTTCCTGGGGACTTTAAAATAGAGTTCTTCACAAAGGCTGTAACAATGTTTCTGAAGATTCGACAGTATGAGCGTGACACTCTTAGTGGTACAGACGGGGGGAAAGGAATTGTTAGTAATGGTAACTGAGAATTCCATTGCTAGCAATATGCCCAACCAGGTCGACCTCCTCGCGGTTTCCCCTGGAAACTATCATGGTTAATTCCTGATGGATTCATCATGATGGGCTAATTGGCCTGTTTTCATTCTCATCTATCACCCTTCACTGGTGCTGCGCCAGTGTATCCCTTTAGTGCAGGCGAGGTTACTATTCCATTTTCACCCATCAAAAATAAACAAAAGTGGTACAGGCGTAACCTTTCGATACCAAATGGGCTATATGATTATTTCCCACCATTACATAAAAAATACGAACGATGTGTACTCACCGTAGTTATGTATATGATTTAATTCAAATAATAATATTTCCTTACAAAATTTTTTATCTCTTACTATATTTATATATAAATATCCCTGTACATTTTCATCTATGTATATTTCAAAATAAATTCTGCGTGGATTTTTTTTTAAAGTTTTATTCGCAATTCGAACAGATTTGTATGTATTTGTAAATACTGAAATTAAAAATAATTTTATTTCATTTCAATTAACGTAGGGTCGGTTGTTGAACAGTGAACCAACCAGGAACATTGAACCACCACGATGTTGAAAAAACTGCGAGGTTGCCAATTCGACCGATCATGTTAAAACTTTTCTCGTAGGCACCCTTCCCCTTTCCCGTAGTTAACCGGTGGCCACGACTTGAGCGTGAAGTGTGACAGTGGTTTATTTGTTTCTCACCAAAAAAACATAGAATTCTCACGTAAGTGTCTCTATTTTTATATATTTTGTTATTAATTTTAGCACCAAAAGCTTTATGGTGTCGATATTGTTATAGTTTTAGACGTTTTGTCAATATGCTCATTGCTTTGTAACAATTTAGCCTACAACCTATTTTTTTTAAATATTATAAGTTAAATAGTGTGTGTATTGAACAGTGAACCAGGTTCGCATAGTACACAGTGAACCGGTTCACTGTGTACCTTATGATCCTGGTTCACTGTTCAATGGTAGTGTTATGCTGAAAATCAATAATATTTTTGATTCTTTTAGGATCCCAAGGCCAAGAAATAAGGAAAGGAAAATTGGAAAACACAAAAAAGACGATATGATGTCAGCATTACTAATGGTAGAAAATGGTAGCTCCATTAGGACGGCGGCAAAAACCAGTAAATAGTTATACCAGATGAAGACAGTGAAACCAGTGAAGGTGAAGATATAATTCTTGAAAGTGAAACGGACCTAGAATCGGATGAGGAAGTGACCAAGAATATGAAATTATTGATGAAAATTTTCCTTATTTACAGCGTAAACCAATTATTAACGAATACGTCCTAGTCTTGCTGCAATCTAAAAAACGGACTGTTTATTACGTTGCAAAGATTCTGGAAATAGAAACTGACGATAAATATTGCGTTTCGCGTACCTAAAATTAAAAGATCGTCTGAATAAAACCTTTATGTTTCCTCTAGAACCCAATATGGCTAATATGAAACTCAGTGACATTAAAATGATTCTCCCTCCTCCTTGTGTGTCCGGTACAAAACGTCTAATTAAATATTCCTTCAATATAAACTTATCTTTACTAAATATGGCGTAAATATTTACTTTGACGCATTTTGATGTATTTTTTTCGTGATTCTTTATTTTGTCAGTAAATTAATGAAGACTGTTAATTATACTATTTGAAGAAGGCTGATTGTTAATTTTATCCAGAGGTTTATATGATAACTTAGCGTTATTAAGAAGTTAACTGCTGTGAAGAAAACTATACGAAACCATTATAATTGATATGTTATGTTTATTTTTTGTTTTCCCAGTTCTTGCTTCAACTGGTAGGTAATTAAATGAAGACTGATTTTATTATTATACCATATTATACCATATTTATTATTATTATTATACCATAGAGAAAGCACTGAAAACCAAAATTTTTTTGTTATTAGAAGTAATATTTTTTTTATTGTATTTTGTACAACAAAAATAAAAGACAAAATCAAAAATTTTAAGGATTTTTACTGGTAACGAAATTGTGGTTCACTGTTGAAATACAGGTGGTTCAGTGTATACTACCTATAGTACACAGTGAGCCAATTCTTTATTTTTTTTTAAACTTCATTTACGGTCTTTATTCGTTTCTCTGGCTTTCTGTAACTTGAATATGAGGAACTGTATAAAATTGCCTAAATCATGACACCAAAACGAAATTCTTAACTTTAATTTCTAACAAGTTATATGACTTAGAAAAAAGGTTGGTTCACTGTTCAACAACGCACCCTACTTTATTTAATTTTTGATTGTTTAATATGAGTTTAATATTATAAAATCCCACTGTCACAATATTTATTCGCGCTAATCTTTGAAATAGTTCAACCGATTTTGATATAATTTTGTAAACATGTATCAAAAACATAAATATGAAAAAGAAAGCCAAATTTGTTATTGAAAATGTATGTTTCTTGACTTTGCCAACAATAGAATTGAGATCTAAATGGGTGCCAAGTTTATTTATAAGAATATGCAGTATATTAAAATAATATTTAATATAGAATTTCTTTTTTTTCCATTACTATAATGTTTGGTATTTAAAAATGTAACTTCTTATATTTGCATAGTCAAAATAGTTACATAAAACACATTTGTAGTTTATAAATAGGAGCTGAAGATTTTACTTTGCTAGTTTTCAAAGGTATATAAATAAGTTACATTCGATAATTTTTTTTTACAACACAGGGCGCAAACAGCATGCGGCTCACCTGATGGTAAGTGACTACCGTCGCCCATGGTCACCCACAATACCAACGGCATTTCAGGAGTGCTGCCGGCCTTTTAAAAAGGAATACTTATGCACTTTTCTTAAAGGTTAAGTTGTCATATCGGTTCGGAAATACTTCTAATAAATATTTGACTAATCTACTTAATTTTTTTTACGTATAATTTTCTATGCAAGTTACTATTTTAATGTAGTCTGGTTTCTATATGTTACTTTTCCAAAAATGTAGTTTGTTGGTAAAAACTACCAAATAAATGACTATAAAAAAAAAACGATAAATGAATATACGACTACGGTCAGCCTTTGAAAATCACTATATCGTCATCATCATTTCAGCCATTATCTGTCCATGGGTAAACTTAGGCCCCCATAGACTGCCATAAGGAACGGTCCTGAGCCACCTGCATCCACTGATTCCCAGCAATTCATATGAGATCGTCACTTCATCTAGTGGGGGGTCGTTATACACTTCGTTTGCCCATACAGGGTCGCTACTCAAGAATATTTCTTCCCCATTGGCTGTTGGTTTAAGATATAACCTTGATAAAAACTTGTATACCCAAGAACCTTCCTTCCTATAAATATGTATTATATATTTAATAAATACGAAGAGGGACAGACTATACCGCACAGAGTAGGTAGTATTTGCTGTGTATTGTGTACATTATGTACATGTGTAACGGTCTGTTAGTGCTGACATTATATCTACTTTTTACTGCGAAATATGTTGTGTTTCTATTTGCAATACATTTGAGGTCAGTACTCCATGTAATAAAGAGACGTGCTGTACTACGTTTGTACGTGTAAATTTAATATTTAAATACAAACCATAAAAATCACATTCTATATTCTTTCCAGGTACATTTAATAGTATTATGTTAAGATTTAGGTTACCGGTGCCATAATTTATAACTTCGCCGAGTCCTGAAAACAAGTGTTCATATATATATTTTTTCTTTTATTTATAAACTACTTCCAAAACGAGACATTTCTGAATTTGTACCTATATTACGTTTTTTTTTTACAACACAGGCAGTGAACGAGCATGCGGCTTACCTGGTGGTAAGTGACTACCGCCGCCCATGATCACCCACAACACTAACGGCATTGCAGGTGTGCTGCCGGCCTTTTAAAAAGGAATATGCTCTTTTCTTGAAGGAAGGTTGTGCGTGGAAGGAAGTGCCTTTAAAAACGCACGGTGGACGTCCAGATGATTGGGATGAAATTTTAGTTTATGGCGGGTTGTATGGTGGTGAAAATTGTTGATTTATACGTGATTATATTCTCAATTCCGAATAAATTTTATAATGCTTTTTTTTATCTACAGAAATTATTTCGTATTGGTCCCAATGACAACTGATATCGCTGGTTTTTTTTAATATTTAGTGAAACACAAAAAAATCAAAAAATGCAATTTTTTTTATAACCATTGTGGATTTTTTTTTGTAAATTGGATTGACAATTAGCTAATTGTTTAAGACGTCATAGTGATCCGCAATTTTTTTGAGTTTTGAGGTGATGATGAGGTTAAAACTAAAACTCAAAAATGAGGGAATGATGCCTTAGCGAGGGAATGATATAATTTTGGTATTAAAACTACATAAACACATCATAATGAATGATTTTTTTATTATTGCAAAATTATATGAGTCTAGTCTCATCACTATTAATAATGTAAAAAATTTACATAAAATAGGTACTTATATTGTTCATAATGATAATAAAATTATTATCTTAAATTTAAAGTCTTCACTGCCTTTATTTTCTTATAATTTGCTTATATTCTAAAAAAAAATAATGAACTTGTAAGTTCTTTATTTATTACATTTAACACATCAAGTTCCATCTAACTTACATTTCACATATCTTCGAATTAAAAATCTATCATAATTTCAGCAAATAACAAATTTTACCAGAGGGAGACTTTGTATAAAAGTCGTTTGCTTGGGTACCTCTGTCCCATTCGTGTTTCAACTGTAAAGCAGTTGTGTTTGCATAGCTGTGTTTCGGTTTGAAGGATGAGATATGGCGTTAATTTACAGGGTACAGAGGAATAACACCTGAGTCCTCAGGAATGGCAACGCATGGGGGGTATCATGGGGGAAACAGTATATTCTGTTATGTCCATGGTACTGCTCATGTCTATAGGCGACGGTTACCACTTTCCATCAGGTGGGCCGTTAGCTTGTTTGTCATTCTAAGTTGCATAAAAAAATAAAAATAAATTAGGTCCTATAATAAAAATATAACAAACAAATCAATTCTTATTTAACTTTTAAGTCTGAATGACAGTAATAAGACAGTAATAAATGGCCGTTACCAGTATGATTTACCAATTTCTCTAAAATTTACTTTCCTTCAGTTTTATTAAGTATTTTGCATTTTTTAAAACTTTATCTACTTCCTCTACAAAGTATTAATTTTTTTAAGTAACTTAGGAGGTTTAATTATTTGGAGAACGTCATTCCATGCATAAAGTTATTTATCTTTCATTATGGGCTTCTTCCGGCATTTTGATACTTTTTTCATACATATAATGAATACTTCTTTATTACATTTTTTTCTGTAAACTGCGCTAATTTATCGCCACTGTTCCCTTTTTTGTCATCTTTCTCTTAAATTCATAGCACTTTCAAGCTTTACTTGATCTTTTTTCCCGAATATTTAAGTTTTTCTTTTTCTCAAAGTTTTTGTAAAGTTTCAGCACAAGCTTTCCTCTTTTCGCTTTCTATCGTATTCTTTCTTCTTTAATTAAGCTTTCGCTGTCTTTAATTTCTTCTTTTGTGATATTTTTGCTACAATATACCCTAAAACAAACCAAGCAAGCAAAATCCTTATGCAAAATGTTAATAGATGTCATTACCTCACCCAGACGTCATTCCTTCATCTATAATTTATATGAGAGACTGACGATAAGGAAATGATGAAATAAAACATTATTGTACATAAGTATAATATATAATCATATTGTCTCGTACAATTTTAGGATAAATTATTACCCCCAAAAATATATAAAAGTATATTATAATATTATACAAATAAATGCTTACCTTTTTAAAAAGTGGTGTGAGAGAATCATATTCAAAAATGTAAATTTGGAAAAGTTCTTCTTTAAAATACTTTTAACACAAATCCTTACCGCTCACACACTAGTATGCCGTGTTTTTTTTTATTATTAATATTACTAATATTTAAAAACATAAAAGCTGCGTTCAATAAATTTTAGAATTATGGTCAAAATTTTTATGTTTAAAAATTGTGAGGGAATGATTAGATTTTTAAAATTTAAGAATATCATCCGGAACATTTGTGATTTATGGATTACAACACATTTATTTACATTTTATACTATTAATAAGCATATAAATAATTGATAGTAACATAGTCATTTTATAGGAAACTTTTTAAGACAAATATTTAAATGTGTTTGAATTTGTAGATTGGGACACAGTGAGGGAATGATTTTTAGGGTATTAACTTGAACATATAATTTTTATTTTTAATAATATAGATAAATTTATTTCATAATTAGGTACGGCTAGTGACGAAGTTTCTTAAAAAAAATACTCCATGATATCATATATTGATATAATATATTGCTCGATAAAAATTAGCAAGGACAGCAATTTCGATTTTTTTTGGGAATCACTATATATTATACTCTCGGCGTACGAGTATAACTCACACCGGTTCGGTTATAATTAAATAAAGAGATTGATACATTGATTCACACAAGGGTACACAGAAGGGTTTGGTGTTCAAAAACTTTAACTTATAACATATGTCTATACATGAAAGTAGTTAGTTCACTACTTCCAGCAATGTGATTTAATGTTACTAAGCCACATAGTTCTCATGAGCAAAAATTATGAAGGTACTTACTGGATTCTTGACAGATTGTTGTAGTTATTAGAAATAAGATTTGAATAATGCTGGCTCTATACATATTTAATGTCAATACTTATTGAGGTTCACATAATAAAATAGATAAGTATGAACAATTCATATACATACATGATCCAATAATAATCAATGTATGTGCGTATTCCTATTGTCTATGAGTAATTCGTTATTATATTTACTTTAATATCAATTATTACAAAACCCACAAGGAAAATGTAACGCACAGCAATGATTTTTTATACTTGTAGCAGTAGGTACATTATAATGAAATAAACAGTGAATAAACACGGGAATAAGAGAACTGTACTCATAGCAATAAAAATCAAAATCGATTAAAAAAGAAATTTCCAAAAAATTCTAATTGAAAACCTATTCTTTATTGAACTTAGAAAGAATCCCGAGTCATCTAGGTATAAGAATTTATTCTTATGATATACGTAAACGTTTGCAGAAATAGGACTATCAATCAAATGTATATATATTAAATTATGTAAAAAAAATATTTTAACCTCTGTTTTGCCAATATGTCGTATAATTTTATCAATATGATGCTGTTTGCGGCCATTCCCACAGAGACCGCCAGACAATGAGAAGTTTTTGATAAATTTATTTACTTGCGTATTTATTTGTGTTAGTCGTAGTTTTGCGTATAATAGATAAATACACACATTTATTTATTGTTATCGCTTGCAACCACTATCTTGAAGATATTCTTGCGAAGCATTTTCTTGCATGTTGAGTTTCTGTTTAAAAGATAAGAAAGCTTCTGATCACTGTGAGCTGCGGGTCTACCATGAAATGAAATTCCGAAATTTCGGACTCAATTTCGTGTTTTTGTTTATACCAAAATCGGATCAATAAATGGAATTTAATATTTCGTTTATCATACATCCTATCATAAAAGTCCAAAGGAACAATATTTTAACATTTTTAATATTCCCAAACGGCATGTATTATGTAATTTTAACATCAAATTTGTGTTTCGTTTGGCTCCGAAATTTCGGAAAACACTTCATGGTAGGCCCTCTGTTCATATCATACACTGTATATATATATATATATATATATATATATATACTATAAGTTACTCATAAAATGAGTTTTACTGATATTGAGGTACCTATTAATTTACATGTTTTAATATATAAAATAAACATGCCACTTTCACGACTGTAGTTAATTGTGATACATTTGAAATTATTGATGTATAAAGCATGTGTACTTGTTTATATACTATAATACTATACTTTATATGCATAGGTACCTATTATTATTTTATTTTTTAATAAACTTTTATGTATTTTAATTTAAGTTGCATAACTGGTGTATGCATTACACCAGTTTGATAAATCTTGTAAACTTGGTGCGGTTTTTATATTTGTAAGTACTTTAGAATAAACATTATTATTATATAAATTAAGGAAAAATATATAGTACCTATAGATACTTACAAGGATGACAATAAAACTCCGAGTTAATCATGACAATATTTTGTATTAGAATACAAATTAATTGTATATATTATATATAGATTAAAAAAAAAAACATATTGAACGGCTCCTTGTGCTCGCCAACTGAAATGATTATTTTTTAAATATATAGTAAATTTTGTTAAAAACACGTAAACGTAAACGAAAATGGTTATGTACTTCGAAAGGCGACGTCGTAAAGACAACTACAATCTTAAATACGCTAAAATTGAAACAGTGAACTCAGATTGGGTTTAGGGCTGATTTTTGCATAAAGCTGTTTACGTTAGGTGAAAGACCGATGTTCAGCAACCGACAATGAATTATCGAAATAATGATAATAAAGATTATTTTTTATATTATATAAAAAAAATATTATTTAATTTCACATCCGAGTATGTGTAATGATTGAATCATTAATTTAAAATATTCCACGTCAAATCATAGTCTGATTGCAGAGGCGTAGGTTCGAGCAATCCCTCGGGAAGTCACCCTAATTTAGATGGATAGACTCTTTATTGTTTCCTCCAAAAGATTACAATAGTAAACTTATTATCAATATAAACAATTACAATTATTTAAGATAATTTTTCAAGGAATTGAAAAAATTATCACTAAGTTTAATATATTCATATAATAAATACGATAAAAAACTAAGAAATTATTTTTATTAATTTTAATTTAAAGAAAAGAAACACGACACTACGCGTGCAGTAGTCGTAGGCGATACGAGTAGCTATTATTTACTGTAAATGTTACTATTTTACTTACAAATCATAAAAATACAGGGGTTTTTAGATACTGTGCATAAAAACACACTTGAATTTTGATAGAAACTAGAATGATAAAATCGGTTTAGGAACTATTGGCAAAAACAAAAAAAAGCAATAAGTATAGTTTTACGTTGCATAATTATAAAAAAAGAACTCATCGTTTGCACAAAAACAATATCATTGAATTGAGAATCTCACCTTTTTTTAAATTGGCTAAAAATTATATACCTATAAACAAAATGGAATTAGTTCGCAAATATTTTATAGAATGATGTTTATTTTCACATATTCTATTCCTATTCTTTCACTATCCAAGCTATCCGTCTCTGGAACTCCTTACCTCTTTCTATTAGATCAGCGCAATCTCTTGCCTCGTTCAAGAGGCAGGTAAAATCTCATTACCTATCTCTCTAATTTGCTTTGACATTTACTATGTGTGATTTATCTTGATCTATTTAGTATATTTATGTTTATGTATTATTATTTATATTATATATGTATGTTTATGTATTATTATTTTTATTATATATGTATGTTTATGTTATGTAATCTTATTTTTATATTTAGAATTTTTTGCATTTTGTCTGATTCCTTTTATGCATTTACTGTGTCTGATTTGCGCCATCTACCTTTCTCTCTGTACTTATCCATTCTTTATGCCAGGTTGTCTGTAAGAGATTGCTTTTAGCGATAAGGCCGCCTTTTGTATATGCACATTCTGTATAAATACTCCTTGTATACATCTCTACTGTGCGCAATAAAGAGTTTATTATTATTATTATATTCATATATATCATGTGGTTACTACTTAGTACTGTTTGGCGCTGAACCTATTTTTGTGTACAAACAGGAAAATTGTTATTATAAATTGTTATTATTAACAGAGTCAATTTATTTATTTTATTCGTTAACCACGTCTGGGTAACAATTGATACGTAGTGCAGTTTAGATTTCGCAGTTTAATAAGGTTTTCAATCATTATGTATTTAAAAACTGTATTATTTGTAATTGTTTCATTTTTTTCTGATGTCTTATGTTATGATCTTTGTAGTGAGTATCTACATACCTACATACATATCTAGCTACCTATTAATTCCCTGACCTTACTAATATTATAGATGTGAATATGAATTTGTTTGTTATTTCTTAATGACTTAACGTCTTAACTTAATCACTATGAAGCTTGATATGCACATATAGTACATACGTAACAAATAGCATAACTAGCATATGTAACAAATATTATTATTTTACCTCAATCTTATTTCAGAACTTGGTAAGCCTATATATATATACACCTATCCCCCGATTTACACGGTATATACGTTCCTGAGAAAAACGTGTAAATTGAAAATTAAAAATTTTCAAGTCAAAACCGTGTAAATCGAAAAGCTTGCAGAGAATGCATAATTTTGCTATTTAACAGTTGTGATTTTTTTCAATATTTTTAGGTGTACACAGAAATAAAAATAAAATGCATTGACAGGTTAAAATATGTAATATATTACGGAAACACTGTTTTTTTATTTAATTACAATACATTAAACGATTCAAAGCGATCCAAAATTTCGATTTTAGTTACTAAAGAAATAATTTTTCTTTTAACTTCTTTCGACATTATAAGCCTGTAATTTTTTTTTAATTTATGTTAATTTATAAAAATCTTAATTATGCACTCACTTGTAATTTACGAATATGAAAAATTAAATCTTTCTGACACTGTAAAACTGTCACTCAAATACAATTTTCCGTAGATAAAACTTTAATTTTATGCGAAGAAATACAGACACAGTGTGCATGTGCAGCAAGTCAGCATATAAGCTCGGGATACCCCGTGAGATGTGTACACAGCGCACGTGTTCAAACACAGTAGCATTTAGTAGAGTGCGATAATAACAAAAAAAAAAACTTATTTGGAAAACCGTGTAAAAGCGAAAACGTGTAAAACAAGTACCGTGTAAATCGGGGGATAGGTGTATATATATATATAAATATATCATATTCCTTCATCCTGTAATCTCAGATCCTTCAAACACAGCGTGAAAAAGCAATTAGTAAGCCGACATGGTGTAGTCAATCATTGAGAGTAAATCATTCTCTTTTTAATCGATTGCACTCATGGGCCATGTGTCTGTGTTTGCTCAGAATGGTGTGGTCACATGTCATGGTAAAATAAAAAAAATACAGTGAGAATAAATAATATTGTACCCTATAACTGTCATATTCTACTTTTTAACGTGAATTTACCATCCAAGCACAGCCATTAGGCGGCAGTTACACCTCTGAGAAAGCATTAATCGTGGCGGAAACCCATCATTTAATATAATTCCTCAGATAAATTTGTCAAGGATATACAAATTGCTAATTTATTTAAATTTATTTTCAGGCGAAACAAGAAGTTGCAGTTTTGATATAAATTACAGTAAGTTTTTTTTTTTATTATCGGGACCATTTCCTCTTATCGCTATAAAATCTTTCCTGTATTTGAAGTAAAATCAAACAATACACATTCACAAATTTTCATTAAAATTGATTGATATTACATTCGTTCACTCTAATCTCCAAATTATTATATTATCTTTTGCTCATCATCATTGTCGTCATATCTCGTTAACTGTCCACTGCTGAACATTGGCTTCCTGCTATTGAGGAAGTATATTTTGCCAATAGTTATCATGCAGGCGTATTAGTAACCGCAGTTAAGCTTTGATGATGTTTTAAAAGGGACGCTACCGTTCGTGCCTCGAGCATTATTTCTCTTAGTCGCCTCATACGACACCCACGGCAAAGGAAGGAGTGGTTTATTCTCTGCTAGGACTACATGTTGATTAAATCGGATTATTTCTAGTAATTAAATACTTCTTTCTTTAGGTCCTCAAAACATTGAACAAAAATTGGTTACGAAAAAAGTGGGTGAAAACTTTGAATATACCTGTTTTGGTGGTAACAATAAACAGATCGAGACGAAATGGTCTCAGTATATGAACTATGGCAATAAATTTGGTTTGAATCTTTTTATACTTATCTATCCTTATATATATACTTATTGATATCACAGATGAAATAACCAAAGGTGTTTAATTTTAGTTTGTCCATAATTTGCTAAACATATTCGAAGTTGTCGTAGTAGAAAACAAGTTTTATGTATTCTTTCTGATTAATAAGATTTCGTATGATAGAAATATTGTAATAAATAATTTTGGGTTTTGCAAGAGACTATCTACAACATGGACTTCTTCAAAAAAGGGAAAAAAAGGTTTCTTCAGAGTCGGCAAAGTGCCCGTGCGGCGTAATGCCCCTGATATTACAGGCGTTCATAGACTACTGTAACCGCTTACCATTAAGTGAGCTGTGTATATGTTTGCAATTTCAGTGGTGTAAAAATAAAATATATGTATAATTTATTGGACCAGCAGTTTTAAACCAGATGAATATATTATTGATAAAGGACAAACAAATGACTTTTTCACCTTGGTCTTAATGTCTTATGTAAAACATATTAAAAATGATAAATCGGAGACTTTCTTGAATCGCGACGTTACATTTCTTAGCGAGCGCAGCCCTTAAAATCAAAATACCTCTCTGACATAAATAACTAACTTTCCGCTGAAATATCTGTGATATTTATTAATCATTTTCTGTTAGCTTGTTTGACGTTCATACGCTACAGTGACCGTTTAGAATCAGATGACCTGTATGCTAGTTTGCCACTTTTGTGGTATAAAGAAATAACATTCCAAGTTGCATAAAAAAAAACGAAAGACAATTCATGTTCTACTACATTGGAATCGAATGTTCTAGATTTTTTTAATTAACCTTGAAATGGCAAATAAACTGATGTTATGGAAAGTAGGTACTAACTGTCCATTGACTGTCAATGGACAGTACGACGAGTATTACAAAACAGACTTTGCCATGCCATGGCACCTCCCGCACATTCCCATTTTTCAGTACTAATACTCTGTAATTTCATTGTCCTTTAAATCGAAACATAGCAAATCAAGAAAGATATATAGATAGACAGTGGATTAGAAGTACCTAAGCTACTTTTGTACAAAGTGCTTCTGTGTTGTCAATTCTGATAGCTTGTTTAGCATATTTGCTAAATAAATATATTTTTTTCAAATTATTTATAAAAATGCTTAACATCTTTTACAGTTCTCTGGCAATTACATTCAGTAGCGGGTTACATGTTTACTTATAAAGGGAAAGTGTACGGGTTTGACAATAATACTATTATGTCTTGCATTAAGAATTATAATATTATAGAAGACAGAAGAATAATAGTGACACCGGCCAAAGGTAAAACTGAAATGGATCATCAAAATTATAATGAATTTTAAATCATCTTTGTATAAATAGACATGTTAACAAGCTCTTAATCGTAAATTTTTATAATTCTACTGTTGAATTCGGAATGTAGTAATCTGCTATGAAGAACCCGCAAGAATCTAAATAGTTACTTTTTTGTAATGTTAAAAAAATCGTCACCAAACATCAGACAAAATAATAGTTATGAGTGTGTTCTTTATGGATGAAAGCAGTGGCCGCCTTACCTATTGCGAGGCTCCGGGCGGTAGGTATTTGTGAGGCCATTTGTCCTTCGTGAAAAGTATGTAATGCGAAACTAGGTCTGGTTGTTCGGTTTAGGTATTTGTCATGTTTAACGAGTAGTATATGTATATATATATATAGTTCAACTTATGGCCGTCCTAAAAAAATACGAAATAAAATATATCATAAGTAGTACCTGTGTAATTTTTATTGAAAAAAAGTCAATATTTTATTTTTTTTATTGTCCTGATCACTTTGACCAGAAATGAATGAATTCTATTAGTTTTTTGTTGTTTTATTATTATACACTAACTGTGATGATAGATAAACTAATTTATTTTTTAAAAATATGCAAAAAAAAAATATATTTAAGCAAAGTTTAAACCTCTATAAACAATAGCTAAAGGTCACCGTACTTGCTGACCATCTGTGTGAATGTAAACAAAAGGTTAGAAATTTTTGTGAAAGAAATAAATCTTGGTATCTCGTAAGCGGCCAACTTCGGTCGCAATATTTGCATGAGATTTCTAGGAATTTGTTACAAATGATTCATTAAAAACCGTCACTAGACAAAATGCTACTCATTGGTTTTTTAAAATTTGCTTGGGTTGTTACGCGAGGCCCATATAAGAGTGAGGGCCCGGGCGATTGCCCTGTTTGCTTGAAGCCTCGCCTAGAACAATTCGGGTTTAGAGCCGAGTACTCTACAACACTCCAACTAACTCACAACTAGATGCAAGACAAAATTGAATACCACAGTGCCGCCGGCCGCTCATATATCCGCTGGCAGTTTGCCGGGCCTCCCCCCATGGGGTCTCACTCGGCAGGCGAAGACCGCGTTGAGCGAGCCGACCGGCACAAATGTGGTAACCATCTAAAAAATAAAAACCACAACTTATAGTGCACCCGATGACACATGCGTAGTTACGCATGGCGTAAACAAACCACCAGAGAGGGGACAATCAGCCACGGACTGGTTTCCCCATTCCCCCGCCAGGGAATGTGCGAAGACCCGAAATTGCCCTGTTTGCCACCCCCTAAGGCCGCCACTGGATGAAAGAATACTTATGCAGTTGTTGGTATATTTATGAATACTGTGTATAAGTGAGAGATGATGAAGGAGGATGATCGGATGAAGTCACATCAGTTGACTCATCGTACTCAGTGTTGTCAGATAAAGTTGCAAAGTTGCAAGAGTTTTTTTGCAAGTTTGGATAAAAATTTGAGTCTGCAAAACTCTGAAGAAATGAAATTGTTGAAGAGATTTTTGGAAATAAAATAAATGGGCGTGGAGAAACTTGGGCAAATTTTTTGACAGTTTTTGACCATAACAATTAAGGTAGCAACATGAAGTAAGGAAACAGGTGTATATAAGGAACTTAATTGTTTTTCGTTAGTTACATGACAAAACGTAGAGAAACCCGACACAAGTTTTAAAAAAATATTTTGATATTTGGGTCAAACGTAAATTGAAAACATCACCTACTAACAGATTGTCGTTCAAAAAAAAATATCCTCCTCCCCATAATAGCCGTGTTGAATACGATTATGTACTCATTATAATAATTATTCAATAATGTTCAATTACTGCGATTTTTATTTTGAAATGTGCTTCTGTGAAAATATATTGCAAATAGTAATTTTGTTTTAATGTAAGAGTGGAGAATGAAATAATGAAGATGAAATTAGATTTAGTCCTAGCAGTTTGCAAGAAGATCGCGTAGCTTTGACACAGAACATTGCTAGCAATGGCGACTGGCGTCCTAACTAACCACCAGAAAGATACTTTGCAAAAGGCGTCTGCTTGGGTACCTACCCAACAGAGTAGAGAGGTATAATACCTTGGTCCCCAGGAATGGCAACGCATAAAGGGTATCATCATCATAATATAACAGAGTACACTGTAACACAGTATATTCTGTTGTTCATGATACTGTACATGTCTATAGGCGACAGTTACTATTTTTTATTAGGTGGGCTGTCAGCCATTGGTTACTTACTTACTTAGAATGCATAAAAAACAAGCTGCATAAAAAATACTAGTTTCCATGGGATTTACTAGTTTATATAAACTACATGTAATTTTTCTATTTTTGTGTATCTCGGTCTTATAGTTTTTCAGTATATTTGCAGATCCACATTCAGAAATTACAAATTTTTAATTGCTGTATTTTTGTACCAATGATTTTATTTATTTATTTACTCTTTATCGCAGACTGATTTTGGATACTAGTCCATAGTACTTTTAACTGGTTAAGAATTTTCACAGCAACATTTTCATCTTTCCATAAAATGCATTATTTTAATCCGGCGCCGGCGAAGCAATTTTCTATAACAGTTAATATATATATATATATATATATATATATATATATATATATCCGCATAAGGAGAGATTTGCTAGTAGTCGCCACACTGGGTAGAAAACTGCAATTAGACTTTTAAATGTTTTAAATTAGAATTTAATGTTTTAAAAGGGACGCTGCTGCCTATCTCTCTATCATCAAGTTCCCTTAGTCACCTCTTACAACAGATACGGAAATCTATTCTATACCGGGAATACACGGCGGTGGCAAATTAAACAATATCATTTTCGTAAAATCAAACTTTTCAGAATTATAATAAAAGCAGCTAAGTCTGGTATAGGATAGGTTTATTTTAATTGTTTACTACATACCTTATTTACGATTTAAAAGAGCTTGTAAACATCTCTATTTGAGTAAAAATCCCTATTCTTTTTTATAAAATTATCAGTCTATTTCAGAAGACATGTCGATTACAAAAGCTATTATTTACAATGATTCTATGGTATATGACACGAGCTGTACTGGGAATTATTGGCTGCATATTAATGGTGAGTTGAGGTAACAGCCCATGCACTTTTAAGATTCCTTATTAGTGATTTATATATAGATAATATAATTAACATAATTTCTATAAACTATAAGAATAATAAGCTAATTTATATAAACCTAAATTAAAATATTTACTTTGAACCTTTACAACGAGTCTATAATTTAAAAAAGGTTCGAACGTTTTGAGCGCAACCGTATGGATGTTTTAATTTTCATTTTACATTTTTCAATTCATATTTGTTTGGGGAAAATTTCAATTTTACAAATAATTTCTAAAAAAAGATTGTTAATGGTTTTCTGTAGTTTCTACACGGTAAGAATCTAATAATATAATACTACTAGATATTGTAAAGTTATTAATTATTGATGACAACTTTATATATGGATATAATAGCATTATGTAAAATCCTATTTACAGATAAAAATGAAATAATAAATAAAACAAAAGATAACAGTTACAAGGCCTCTAAAAATTTCTCGTATTCAATTAAGCTAACGGGGAATGATTTTAACACAACATTGTATTGTATAAAATTTGAATGTTCTATGGACAAAACATTAAACAAGACGTGTATAAGAAAGATTATCAAAACAATAATCTTTCAGTATCATAATAACACTATTCGTAAGTAAACAACGATATATATACTCGTAAGTAATAATAAAATTAACATTGACGTTTCGTAAAAATTTACCATGCCAAATTTTTTTTTATACGACTTAGAATGGCAAACAAGCTGACGGCCCACCTGATAAAAAGTGGTAACCGTCGCCTATAGACATGAGCCCATGATACCCCCCATGCGTTGTCATTCCTGAGGATTCAGATGTTATTCCTCTGTACCCTCTAAATTCACGCCATATCCCACCTTCCAAACCGAAACACAGTCATGCAAACACAACTGCTTCACGGTAGAAACACGAGTGGGACAGAGGTACCCATGCAATCGACTTTTGTACAAAGTCTCCCTCTGGTAAACTCGTATATAATTGCCTATATATGAGTATACTATGTTATTTTGATGTTTTATTTGAATTTACGTTATCGGCATTAGTCTACCTATGGAATATGTATGGGTACCTTTACGAACTCTTACAATTTGTTCAATTCAATATGGATAAGTGTGCAACATTTCATAGGATTTAATACAACGAATTCAAAATTCTATAATTTCACCTTTAAAGTTGGCCAGCTAGCTGCTTTTTGTATTTTTAGCAAGATAGTTGTTCAGAATTACATCAATTGACGATTGTATGCTATTCATCTTAATTGTGGCGATTTAATTATACATTATATATTACTTTTTGCAGTTTTTAATCGACGTAGGCAAGCTTTAACTGTAGTTTCGTTCAAAATAAAATGGTGGTTTATATTATTTACACTCTGTAATACTTGCCTTCTTTTTTTGTTAAAATGTTATGTACACATAAGAATGGAAAGTAACCTTCAGATACATCAATATAAGTAATGTAATCATGCGTCCTGGAGACATTGGTTGATATTGTCATCCAGCCCTGGACTGAATGTAAGCAACACTTTTATGTAAATTTGTATTAATCAATGAAAATGTATGATGAAGGGCCACGACTGTCCAACGTGTGTTGTTATAGAAAGTAATAACAGATAAGGAAAAAGTTAGGTCAGCAGATCGGTTATGACGAATTATATGCCTAGGAATTTACTACAACGTTATTGTGACATACACACACACACACACACATACACACACACACACACGCACACACGCATGCACGCACGCACGCACGCACGCACGCACGCACACACACACACACACACACACACACACACACACACACACACACACACACACACTCATACACGCACACATACACTATGGGGCTGTTAGTCTCATTCTCGTTACTAAGAACTTTTCCCTTATCAAATGTTTACATCAGATGAACCACCTGTGTTGAGTTGTAATTTCCACTAGAATAAATACAATTATTTTATATTCCAGAACACACCGAGAACTTCAACAAAAGCAGTTTGATAGTGCCTGTTGTTTCTGTAGTAATTGTATTAATAGTTTTGTTTATATTTATGTTATATTGGAAAAAGACTTCAATAAGTCGACGAAATAATTCAAACCAAGAAAACCTTTATGTACGTCTATCGACATAACAAGTTGTGGTAAAAACTATACATGTTACTCGTTGAGAATAACAACTGACGATGGATACTTATTTAAACAAATTTTTATCTATTTAGTTAACATCTCTATTAAAAAAATACAAAATCGGATTTAATTTTAACATGAAAAGTTACCTAATAAACTTACAGATGGACAAATGAAAATTGTCTATACTTAGAAGTGTTTTTATATTTAAATATTTTCTACTTTTTATTTCTAGGCCACTCCTAATGTCCAATACGCTGAACTACAAGCAATGAATTCAATCACCAATAGACAAGTAAAAAAAGATGATTTTCCGTATTCAGAAATTATCGGCATATTGGAGCCTAAGAACGTAAGTTCATGCACTTGATGTATGTTATTTAATGTATGATAATGGAATGGTAACCCCGCCCGCGCTAACGGTACTCGTATACGCAGCTGGCGGGGCACCAATGAGGATGAAATTGGTCAGTTGGCCCATCGCGACAAATTCAACAAGAACGAATCACTTATATAACATATATATATATATATATATATATATATAAATTTAATGTAAATCTCTCATTGTTGTTTCTAATTACAGAAAGCTTCAGAAGTCCACTATGAAGAGATACAAAGAAATATGGTATTAAACAAGGAAGAAGACAACAGAATATAAATATATTTAAAAATTTATTTATTTGTTACATTGCATCTACTGGATGAGCTTTACAATCTTCCAATACGTTCACCCAGGAAATCATCAGTACAATAACATATATATAAAAAAGGAATAATACACATAAAAAAATTTAATTTCTAAATTTCTGCACACAGACACCTTTTTTTTTTATACCACTGAGGTGGCAAACAAGCATACGGCCCTCCTGATGGTAAGCGGTTACCGTAGCCTATGAACGCCTGCAATACCAGAGGTATTACGCGCGCGTTGCCGACCCTGAAGAAACCTCTTTACCCCCTTTTTGAAGAACCCCATGCTGTAGTCTCTTGGGAAAACCTCGGCAGGGAGCTCATTCCATAACCTGAGTGTTCGTGGGAGAAAGCATCTCTGAAACCGCGTTGTACGCGACCATTTAGGCTGTAAGGTATGAGGGTGAACTCCCTGTCGATGGCGAGCCGTACGATGATAGAAAGTGGCCGTAGGCATCATATTGAATAATTCCTCTGAGCACAATCCGTTGTATAAGCGGTAGAACACGCAGAGTGAGGCAAAATCTCTCCTAAGACTTAAGGGTTCGATACCGCTTGCAAGCATGGGATCATCGACAATTCTCATAGCTCGTCGTTGCACTGAGGCGAAGGGTTCAAGCTGGTATCTAGGTGTGTGACACCTTGTGGTCATTCGACGAAACTCCAGCAAGTTGAAGGCAAATACGTCCAAATGCGGATATCAGTTCAAAATATCATTGAGTAGTTTTAATGTAAGAGAGAGGGGAGCTTGCTTAGCCAATTCCGTTCTTCTTAATGGAACATCAAATAATTGCCGTCTACGTGCTCGCACGTAGTTACTGGGCGCTCCTATTGATATTGATCCCAGTAAAGTTTGGTTAAATTTTTCCTCTCGTACTAATTTTAACACATACTCAATTATATTGAGTTTGCGTCTCACTTCAAATGTATTATAGCTCACCATACCCAATAAAAACATACTCGGATATACTCGTAAATGGGGATAAAACAGCTTGAAATCATACTGTTTTTGGTATAGCTACCTTACAAATTTCTTTTGGATTTTTTCCACCTTAAGTATATATTTAGACTCATGTGGGTTCCAAATAATTTCGTTGCTTTCTAATTTACTATAAACAAAAGCATTATATAGCAATTTAATAGCTTGTATGCAATCCAACTGTTGCGCTTATCTCAATACAAATCCGAGAGTTCATTGTTTATATGTTAGTTACTCAATACTATTTTCTTCGAAAATATCATTTCTAAGAAAATAATATTTTCAAAAATGTATTTTTATAATCATATCTATATTTTATTGTAGAAATTAAAAGTGATCTCCCTAAATTATTTTTAAGTCGTACAATATATTCTAAAACTATAATATGCTATTGAACTTGATCGATCAAACAAATTTTCACATTTATAATTAATTTTATATTCATTATACTTGATAATGTTAATTATCAATTATAATGAATATTTTACATTTTACACTAATTTATATTTACTTTTGTATTTTATTCCATAATAAATGTTTTAACAGTATACCGTGTGATTTAACAGTGTGTGTAATCCTTTAATATGAAAACCTCTTCTTTAAAATTATGAAACATCTCGGAAATCTCATTACTCCAGAACCTCGATCAACCTCGAAACGTAGTAGAAAAAACTTATATACGTTTTAAATGGGAAATCGGAAACTCTGATCCAAGTATTTATTAACCCCATTATCTCATAATTCACGATTAGCGGTTTTATCAGTCATCACGGCAGTATCAGTAATCACATACACTTAGTATAACTACTAGTATACAAGTAGAATTATATTATCTGTGACTATGTCGGTTGTACAAGAATTTATCAAAATCAGTTAAAAATTGGCAGCATAATCACGTAACATAGCTAATAAAAAAAATTAAAAATGAATTAAGAACCTCCCGTTTTTGGAAGCTAAGCTCGACAAAATTAGGTCATGCCGATTATTATGTTTACTGCAATTGTAATATGCTTCTTACTACTTCATCAGGGAGCACAATCATAAGCATGTTAGATTTGGTGCCTCCAAGAAAACCGGCGATAATGGGATCTGGGATCGGCTCGGCTGAGACCCGGGAAACAAATATTAAACAAAAACTGGGTAAGTGCGAAGTTAGACTCACGAGGAGAGGGTTCCGTATGTTGATTATCTACGTTCCATAAGTTGTTCTAAATGTGACGCAAATTTGTTTATAGTAACTAAAAAAGTATATATGCACATAGTTGTAATAATAAACAAATGAAATTCATACGCAAAGATATATAGAAATTTCCTATGTCACTTTAAACATCATACTTTTTAAAGTTTAACTGTAATCAATATTTAAAGAACTATTTTTATTTTATTTATTTAAACTTAAATGTACAGTGAAATTTTATGTATATTTGGCGGATTTAGCACGAGACGGTATTCTCTACCAGTCAACTATTGGGCAAACAGAGAAATAATAAAAATAAAGTAATACTTCATATATTCATGCGAGTATATTCCCAAAGAGGGTTGACGTCAGGCAGGCGGCCGGTCGTAAAACTATAAGCCAAATCTTTTTGTAATATGGATATAAAACATATTATGCCAACCCCAAATAATAATTGGGATACCTAAGGGTAAGAAGATGATGATGATTCATATATTATAAACATAATTAGAATCGTTGCTTAATATGTTAAATAAATAAATAAATATAGTACATTAAATATATATAAAAATATGCTGTGATAACGTATAATTTCCGTTCAAAAAGGTTCCGTTTTATTCTTTTGAACGAATTGTTAAAAACTAGTAAACCCGTTCAGACTTTGCACAATACACACTAAATATAATATATTACTTATTATATATATTACTTATTATTTATTATATATAAGTATTACTTATCCAAATGTACAAATGAATTCGTACCTACTTTTACTGTAATTTCCAGTGCTGAGTTTGTTACAATCGTGGTTATGTATTTTAAAAAATAAAGCAAAAAAAAAAATATTACTTATATTACACGAGTCCCATAAATTACTGAAATAATAAAACATTACAACGAAATTCAGATTATTTATACCTATACCACAACCCGGTTTGGTTGGGGGGAAAGGGATTATTAGCAATGGAGTTTGACAGCCCCATTGCTAGCAATATGCCCTATTAGGTCGACCTCCACGTGGTTCCCCCTGGAAACCATCGTGAACTATTCTTGTTGAATTCGTCACGATGGGCTAACCGACCTGCTTCATCCACATCTATCATTCTTCACTGGTGCCCCGCCAGTGTATACCGATAGCGCGGGTGGGGATACCATTCCATTATCACCCATTAAAAAAAAACCCGGTTTGGTCCCGGCATAAAATAGGCCACCCTTTCCTTTTCCGTGGGTGTCATAAGAGGCGACTAAGGGAATTTAATGGTCGAAGAATAGGCAACAACGTCCCTTTTCAAACATTATTAAAAGCCTAACTGCGGTTGCCTAATCGTCTGTTAAGCGTGGTAACAACGGATAAAACTCCCCTTCTGGGGAAGACTGATGTTCAGCAGTGGACAGTTAACGGCTAATATGATGATATACCACACCAAGTTTACAATTAAATTTAAACTGTTCATCATTCAGAGCTGAACCTACGTACAAAACGTAACAAAATTCTATGAATTTTGAAAATAATATCGCCTATGTTACTGATAGTTAAGCTTTCTATAGAAGAAGAATTTAAAAATCGGTTGAGTAGTGTTTGCGTTCATCCATTACAAACAAGCAATCAAATCTTTCCTCTTTCTAATATTAGTGTATATATACATAAATAAACATTTCTCGTGAATCTCTTTATTATTGGAAACTATATCAAAATCTTTACAGTGATTTCTGAGATAAGCACGTACGAACAGATAAATCAGGCGGATGATTTTATACTATAATAAATTGATGACATAATAAATATAATGTTAGGTAGTTAAATGAACAAAGAATAGGATAATTATAACGTTTTCCTGAAGCTTAGTCAATGTTACTTGTATTGTGTTCTCTCTAGGTATGCCAAAATTAAAATTTTGTTATTTATCAAACGCTAACATGCAGTGACATATTAAACCTCATTACGATAAACTAATACAAAATGTATTTCATGTATTCACTTCTTTTTTTAACAATTATTTCTTATGGTGAATGTAACTGTGGTAAGTGGATATAATTTTATATTAACAATCAATTATTATAGTCTATTTAATTAAAATTTAATGAAAACGCAAATAAACCAACTGTTTACAGACGTTAAATTGTAGTACATGTTAAAACTCGATTAATTGATTGGGTGTTTCGATAATATACACTAATTTCATGTAAGAGTGTTTCTATGATAAATTTAACGAAACTTGGATATTTTTATATTAAGTTCTATTGAAATGGATTATAGAAGTTTATATGTGAATTAGAGTAGATTTTTTTTTCACATGATGATAATGGAATGGTATCCCGTGAGTAGGTATATGCTGTGATAGATGACAAGTAAAGACGAAAGTAGACCAGGTAGCTCATCATGACGAATTCAACAAGAATTAACCACGACAGTTTCCAGTTGGAAGTGCGTAAATGTCGCTCTGATATGGTATATTTCTAACAATGAAGCTTTTTTGGATGAAGATATAATTATAACTCTACCTGCGATATCGGTAAACGCCGGCGGGGCAACAGCAAAGGATGATAGGCGACGGTGAAAGCAGGTCAGTTAGCCCATCGTGATGATTCCACAAGAACTAACCATGATGGTTTCCAGGAGGAACCTCGTGGAAGTAGACCTGTTAGAGTATATTGCTAGAAATAAGGCTGTTAAACCTTATTACTAACAATCCCTTCCTCCATTAGTGTATCAAGTATTAGTTATAATGTAGGTACGTACTTTTTATAAATTGGAATAGCAATAAGCTAATGATACAAACAGTGCCACGAAGATATTAATAACAATAATATTTTCATAAAAATCTTGTAAAATAATAAAAAAAACTGCCTCTAAAGGCAGTTTTTTTTTATTATTTTACATTGAGTTGTCATTTGTTTCAGATAATCCACGGCCATATACAGAAGGACAAACTTTGAACTTAAATATACGTCTAACCTACTACCTACTTAGGTGTCCAACACTTTATCAATATGAGATTTTAAGTGAGTTACAAAGCAGATCAGTATACATAAACATTTTCCTTGAAGAATTTTTTTTTTACTGATAGATGCCTTGAAAGAATGCAAAATTATATCTTACATAACTATATATGTTTTCGTTTCAGGTAAACAAAATAAGAACATTAAATCAGAAAGTACTGCTCATTTACCGTATAATAATATAACATTTTTAAAAAACTTGACATCAGATATGGATCATACTATATTCTCTTTTACAATATTAAATAATGATTACGCAACATGTAAGCGCAAAGACTTATTCAAATTAGAATACGATCCCAACCTGAAAGGAGGTAAAAATATAAAAGAGCGCATAATTATATTAATCATATTGTTTTGCTAAGTATAATGTAGGGAAGTGCACACTAACTAAAACTGGAAAATGTAAACGCTGCGAAATCATTTAGGATATGTCTAATTTGAAACCAAACCCTTCATGTTTTCTCAAATAGTTGTTCTGTCTTCTTCTTCTCGTTCTATCTCCTATCGGAGTTCTATAATTATCTGGATTATTATGTTTTGGAGATTACCAGCCAGGGAAGGGCGGCTGGCAGTTCATACGGAACTATGTCTTAACCCCCTTATTCATAGACACTAAAACTTTCTACAAAACTTTTTCAACTATTACACTGTGTTGTCACTTTTTTTAATTGGGAATTTAGCACAAAAGAAAGAGACAAAACAGTTCAATAGCTAAAATAAATTTATGAAAGGTTTGACATTTTTATAAATAAGGAGTTTCTATAAATAATATGACCACGTCATATATGTCATAGATATAACACTAGTACGAGGTATATGGTAATATATATAATAGAATAGGAGATTCACCATAATTCAGGTTTTTATAGTAGCTGCCATAATACTTAGATAAGTATAGTGCGTGATATTCATACTCGTAGTTAGAAAGGTACGTAAAGTTACGTTTGGTCGCCAGCTCAATGTTTTTTTTTTTTTTTTTATAATATTCTATATATAAAAGTTATAAAAAAAATTATATAGAGTTACCAACTCATTAAGTTTTATACTGGTAAAACCTAAGATTTACCAATTAACAAGCTTATTTAGATTATTACAGTAACATATGCATCTCTGAAATACAAACAATTAATTCTGAAAAACAAACGAATTGAGAGCCTCCTTGTTTTGGAAATTGCATTAATCATTACTTGAATAATTTAACTAATTTATTTAAATTAAAATATTTTCAGACATAAACATACTAGCCGATTGTAATGTGAATTTGGAGAAACAATGTGATTTCTTCGAGCCTGTTACATCTACACCAGATACGTCAAAACCATCGTATTCTACGAAAACTGGTTATTCAGACCAAAAACTAAAGCAGGTCAGATGTACAAAATATTGAAGTTAATATTGGAGAAGATGAAGCACCATATGGGATAATGATTTATCACCACATACTAAATTCCATGAGAGGGGCTGCCGACTTTTTTGCTATTTTCCATAATAACTAACTTCTACCCACAAATTCATATGCGTGGATTTTTAAAATGTACTCAAATAGCTATTTCTACGATAGTGTATCAAGATAACACATACATCTGATTTTAAGTTAGAGCTTCAAGAATACAACTACAAAACAAACTAAAAAACAACGAGAGTTTGTACAAAAGTCGTTTGCTTGGGTACCTTTATCCCATTCGTGTTTCTACCGTGAAACAGTTATGTTTGCATGGTTGTGTTTCAGTTTGAAGGGTGAGATATTGTGGTGAATTTACATGCTACAGAGAAATAACACATGAGTCTTCAGGAATGCCAATGCATGGGGAGTATCATCGACGAAACAGTATAGTCTGTTATGTCCATTTCTATAGGCGACTGTTACCACTTTCCGTTAGTTAGGTCGTCAGCTTGTTTGCGATTCTAAATTCCTTAACAAAAAAAAAACAAAAACCGCATTCATTTTGGTGTAATAGTTTTTGCGTGATGCTAATTACTACTGATTAAAAGCTATCGAACAAACAAAAATTTTAAAAATTGTTGTCAAATTTCCTTAAATATCTTTTATGCACAGACATTGTCTAATTACAATTTTGTTAAAATATTACTATGATGATGATTATGAATAAGATAATTTTAGGGTATTAATGATGTCTTTTCTCTCATACTACACAAATATAATTTTATTCCGCTAATATATTTCAAATCATAAAGCTAAACTATTTTAAGCACCAAAGTAACAACCAATTGTGAAGGGAATGTAAAAAGAAATTATTTTTTTTTTATCAAGATTCATCAATCTACAATACATCCGTCGACTCTACCGCCATTTTCCGCCATTGTTCCTTCAATATCAAAATCGAAAACAGGTGAAAACATTTCTACAAAATGAATTTTCTTTTGAAGTTAATGGTAAGGTAAACAAATTGCGGAAAGCAGAATTAATACTGTAGAAATTAGAGCTTCCATTATCATCTAAATAGTTTAACCATCATATGAGTTCCATCCATCCAAACCACTTGGAAACCGTCATGGTTAATTCCTGATGAATTCGTCACAATAGGCCAACTGACCCTCTAGACAAGTGACAAGCGAATTTATCGAATGAATCGACATCGCTAGCGACTCCATGAGTTGGAATGAGACCTCCGATTGCTATCTCTATCTCATGGACTCGCTACCGATGTCGATTCCATCGATGAATCTGTTTGTCACTTGTTTAGAGTGCCTGACCTGAGTTCGTCATGACCTATCTTCTCTCACTGGTACTGTGTCAACGTAAAAATCATGTAACTAAAACCTCTATACTTATGCAAATAAATGATTAATTGAGCTCCATAACACTTATATTCTGTCCAAGGTGCTGTTCGTGTCCATAGGCTCATAGGCGACGGTTAACTTATTAGCCATTATATCTAATCATATATATATATATATATATATATATATATATATATATATATATATATATATATATATATATATATATATATATATATATATATATATATATATATATATATATATATATATATATATATATATATATATATATATATATATATATATATATATATATATATATATATATATATATATATATATATATATATATATATATATATAATATATATATAACATTTTATATAATTATTTATAACGCAAAGGGCAAATGAGCATATGGCTCACCTGATGGTAAGTGACTACTGCCGCCTATGAACACCCGTAACATTAGAGAAATTATTTATTTATTTATTTGATCTACTGGGTGACCTTTACAGGCTTCCACAACAATAATAGAAATAACATTTATATCTTAAAATACATAAACGCTCTGTGGTCATTCGACAGTACTCCAGCAAGTTGGAGGCAAGTACGTCTAATATATAAAAATATGATAAAATACCTAATTCAATAATTATTTCGTGCTGTTTCAGATAATAACACAACTTTAATCAGCTATATTTATATATTAATCATCTTCGTGGTTCTGATCATCATAGTTTTTCTGTATTATTTATATAGGAAATATAAAACGCAAAATTTTATTAATCTATCACAAGAAAATACTAATGTAAGTGAGATATTTGTATGTGAAATAAAATTTTCGCTGCATGCATTTCAACAGTGTTGCCAGATGGGGTATTTTTTTGCTTTTTGGGTAAAAATTAATTCTATCGCGAAATTATAAAAAAAAAACAATTTGTTGGAAAATATCTTAAAGAAAAATAAAATAGATTTAGAGATTTAATAAATTTTGTTGATAATGTTAGACTTTCTGTATTTGTGAAACGTATGTAATATACACGTTTCACAAATATGTCTAGATGTATCAATTAGAGGTGGGTAACACTAGTGTCTATATACCTAATAAGAGTCGATGGTATTTTTTTTAATAGATAACTAGTTTTTTGCCCCGCTATATTGTACATGAATTTCAGAAGTAGGAAAATCAATGAAATAGACCACTTCTAGATGGTTGTTAAGTTAGACCTTCAGGAATACAACTGTGTAAAACGCATTCAATTTGGTGCAGTAGTTTTTAAGGGACGTCGGAACTAACATATAGACAGACAAATAACATTTTTAAAAATAATTGTTTTAGCATCTATTGGTCTTATTAAGACACCTCATATAATTTTTTCTTAAATATTTCCCATATACAGACATCGTCTAATTGAAATTTTATTACAAGTATATTAATGTAGTTACCGTTACATTATCCTTTAGCCTAGAAACTGGATATCAGAGAGCGCTACCCAGTTGTAGTAATAATATGGCAGCTAAATTCACTAATTCACTAATTCACCATTCAATTTATTTTTTACAGAATACTACAAACCATCCAAATGAACTACAATTTGTTTCTAATGAACCAACAACCATGAATGTTGGAGCCGCTCGTCAACCAGAATTACTTTATGCAGAATTGGAGTTAAAACAACCAAAAGAATCTATTGTTAATAAAAAAGACCATATCACGTACGCGGAAGTGGGTTTTAAAGTAACCACAGAATAAGTATAATCTAAAACAAAATAAAGTGCAATTAAAACCTGTTTAAAATGATGAAGGACGAAAGTGATCATTTCTTTATTAAATTGATGATAAACATAAATCTACGTAGGTATAGGTATACTTAATCTTATTCAAATCTATTCAGCTGTTTAAGCGTGATTCGCTATGCATTCATTACATTTTGTACATAAATTTAAAGAGTATTAATTAGCTTAGAATTATTATTACAATTTGTTTTGTGTATACTTTTATATAGATAGATTTTAAATTATAAGATCGAGCAAACAATAGAGAGCATCGAGTCTTAAAAACAGGTCAACTTTTTGCCAACTAATTGTCAAATTAGCTTACTCTTTTTTATTAGTGTTCTATGTACTTACCTTAGATTATATAGATACAAGTATAAAAAAAAATACAAATGCTTTGAAAAAAGCAGGTCAACTTTTTCATACAATTTTGCATAATAAATAGTTATGAGTGATTCCCTTATAACTTTTATATTTATTTTGACTTATAATTTCTGCATCTGTTTAATGCGTAAATACTCATTTTATTTATTAAAGAATACGTCAAGATACATTGTATGCGTAAGTATATAGATGTTCGATTCAAAGAAATTGTTTACGTAAAATAAATTCAAAATGGCCCTCATTTTAGTGACATTATTCGTCCATATTTCCAGTATATATAATATATATGGAACCACAAACACTAATTATCAACTGAAATTTTACTAATTTTTAAATAGATACGAGTAAAACAATATGAAAGAATTATGAAATTCAATTTAGCGCATTCTTTGGAATATAATTATTTCAGCCCTTAACTGTCCACTGTTGGACATAAGCCTTTCCCATAAAGGGAGTCTTACCAGTAGTTGCCACGCTTGGTAGGCGGGTTGGCAACAGCAATTAGGCTTTTACAGATGTTTTAAGAGGGACGCTGCTGCCCATTCCTCCACCATAAGCTCCCTTAGTCGCCTCTTACGACACCCACGGGAAAGGAAGGGGTGGCCCATGCTATGCCGGGTACGAAACAGTATTGGAATTTGGATTTGAATATATTGGATTGAAATATGATAATAACAATAAATATATAAATAAAGTTAAACATTATTAAGGATTATACATACTTTTTTTTTTCTAATCCGCTAAATGGCAATCTGTTCCTTATAGAACAATAATCCAATATGCTGTTTGGATGTCAGGTTTAAATGTTCTTATTATATGATGTGGCTAATTCATTAATCAGTTCTCAGTCTCTGTCTGTAAATCTTTCTAACAGTCCTTGAATGCTGTGTCTATACATACTAATAATATTTTATGTACCTTCATCTATTTAGCTTTATCTAAACTGTAATTTCTAATCTGGCAATCCTATTACTCACCTATGTATAAAATGTAGATCTGTTTTTCGAAGCATTTGCATGGAGACATTCTATTTTTATTTTAACTCTTTATTGCCATACAATGATTGTTATTCGAGGTACGCGAAATATAATTTTCAACGTCACCAAAAAATATGAATTGCTTTTTGAGGTAGTAAGGTGTGAGAGAATTGAAAATAATAGAATAAAGAAGAGAAATAAAAAAAGAAATATCTATATAATCTAAGCTTGTATTATAGTAGATATATAAATATCTTTCAGTTATATAAAATTATATATATGTAGCTGTATCTGATTTTTAATTTACTCCTGAAATTGTTACTTAGAATAAATTAATAAAATATATAATAACAAAGTCTAAAGTATAATTATTATTTTATCTGTGACTTTTTAGGTACATAAGTATCTAAGTTACAAACTTTTAATTAATACTTATTAGATATGTTCACAGAAGGATAATGTAAAATATAGAAGTATCTAGTTATTGTAATAATACCTTTAATAGGATGAATTGTATAATTTATAGAATTAACTATATAGAACTATAATATATAGATACCTAAATATCGTCTTTTTTATATAAAATATATAAGCCAAAAGTACCACTTCCGCATATATTATTTTTAATCTATAGAGTATTTCCCAAAGCTATGAAACTATAATAAAAACTAAGCAAGAAATTTTATTGGAATTACCTACGTCAATATAGTCAATAGTCTACTACTATTATATTATATATTACTACGTCAATAGTCATGCCACTTTTTCAATCATCAATAATAAAATCCTTTTCTCAAATAAATAGCAGCAATTAAATGATGAATAGATGTCAGTATGATGTTCTAAATATCAATTAACCGAAAGTAAAAAATTATGAACTTTAAAAATTACATCCATAAATTACGATACACAATAATTATTTACCGCCCGCCTCCACCCCTCGTGCTATTTTTTTTATAGAATGAAAATGGCATGATAACTCTGCTTGCGCTATTGGTAGGTACTAGTGAAAGGTGATAAGAAAAGATGAAAAGACATGTCAGTTTGCTCATCGTGACGAATTCAACGATAACATAGTCACGTAGTTTCCAGGGGGAACCGCGTGGAGGTCGATTTGATAGGGTATATTGATAGCAATGGGAACTAAACTCCCCATTACTAACAATCCCTCCTCTCTCGGTTTATTTACAGCTGACCATTATTAAATATAACGGCTTTTCCGATATTTTTTTTTAATAAAATCGACATCAAATCGTTTGATTTGCAAACATTTCTTAATTGTATTATTTTTTTTTTGTCTTTCTAATAAATTTGATTTATAAATAAAATAAATTATAATATGTACAGAGCAAAAAGTCACCACTCGATTAAATCTAAATACCTAATTTTAATATTGTATAAAATCGACAGACATTATGTTTAATTTGTTGACTGTTAACTGAAAATTAGGCTGTATGGTTTAGAGCCTTTGTCTTGCTATTAGAATAAATTAATACAACTACTACTATCAGCTGTCACTGTCACTGTCAAAAAAGATCTCGGTGTCTATCTACGTATACCGAAACAAATTACAAAATTATTAAATAAATAAAATAAAAATTATCATTCCCCATTTCAACATCATTACTAAAAACATGTGGTCTAAATTTTTTTATTTCTAATATTGCTTTCTTGTTTAAGCAAGAATTTGTATAATTTATTTTCTCTGTGAAAGTTTTATAATTTAAAGCAAAATAAAATGGATGGGACATTGATACTTATTTTGTTGGCAGTTGTTATGCTAATTGGATCGTACGTTGCTGGGAGTATTCCATTAAATGTGAGCATGTCTGAGGTATGGTGTTTATTATTCGTATCAGAAATTATTAGCAGTCATTGTTTTGCTATTAAACCTGTTCAACATCTGTTTACTTTGATTACACAAAACTTTCCACATCAATCAAATACTTAATAATAATTTTCTTTTATTTGTCATAAGCTTTATCCCGCTACTTTGTTAAATTAGGACAAACTTGTGTGTCTAAAGGACTAGGCAATGATTTAAAAAAAAAACAGTTATCCGATTTGGTGCAGTAGTTTTTCCAAGATGAAGAACAGAACAATAATTCACACAGATAGACAAAATTTCTAAACATTATTATTTTGCTTTTTATTGCCCGTATATTAATTTTCTTTGAACATTTCTCATGTGGTAAAATAGAGTATTTTACTTACTATGTTATTACTTTCTTTTATCTTCATTTTCTTGTTCTAGAATAGAAACCCTTCTTTGGATGTAATGTATGTTTAATAAAAAATTGTTAAAAAAATAATGTTTATTAACTCTTCATTGATTTCAGTGGTGCACAGGACTTTTATCTTCTAATGGCTGCAAGTTTAATTCCTGTACAATATAAACATTTATTGGTGTTCATGATTATGCCTATTTGTATTTGGGCATTCTCTATATATAATATATATATGTATTTACAAAAATAAATTATTTCAATACATAATTTTTGTGTTATGGATAGACTGTCTATTGATAGTACCTACAAACTTTTCTTAGTTTGAAAACAGATGGTGCAGGTATTACGTGTATGTTTATTTATATATTTCTATCGCAGGACAAGCTTCAAAAAGTAACAGTTTTTGGTGCTGGCCTGTTAGTTGGTACTGCCCTGGCTGTAATCATTCCTGAAGGTGTTAGATCACTGTTCAGTGAGAGATCTTTACCAACCATCGTGACTAAAGATTACACAGCTGAACCACCTGGACATGATGATGATTTGCATTCAGTTATAGGCATATCTCTTGTGCTAGGTAATGAGATTCTCTTTATCAATGTTTTAGTTTATACATTGATTATATTTGTCTGATCACTTGTCTCTTTATTCCATATAAATTTTTTACTTGTAACTTTATATACCTATGTGACTGGGATACATTGATTGACCAGATATTCTTCATACTGAATAATATTGTATTTTACATTTCATAGTGATTAGTTGAATTGTTAAAGTGTGTCAAGAGAACAAACTCATTTTTAATATAAAATCAATCTTCAAAATCTATTTAACAATTTACATAGACATCAATGGACATAGATGGTAAAAACTGCACTTTATTAGAGAATGAAATAATTAGCATCCCTTTAAGCATTCTATCAGTGAAACAGAATGAATTCCCCAAAGGAACATAACTTGATAAATGACAAGAAATTTGGAACATCACAGACTAAGATAGTAGTTAAGTTAAAAGGATAGTATTTATTTTATTTAGATTAGTAGGATAGTCTGTTAAGTAAGATAGGAGGCTTAACATATTTTGTCAACCATTTTAAAAAACAAGGAGGTTCTATTGTATTTATTTTATATTTGTTACTTCATAACTCCATTAGATGTCAACTGATTTGGAAAACTCTTTTTTACTTGAAAGGATATTACTTATATATTAGTCCCATAAAATTTTTATTAAAATCAGTTAAGTAGTTTAGTTTTTAAATCAAAATACAATTGATTTCGTTACAATTGAAGTCTGTTTTTTTTGTGGGTCACAATCTTTAATTATTGTTTATTAACTTTCGATTTATGAAATTTGTGCCCTAATAAATTCTATAGCATAAGTAGATGAAAGTTTTACTTATAGCTAACAACTACAATTTAACCTTTTATATATAGAGTGATTGTTAGATGTCATCTGCATTCCAGGGTTTGTATTCATGCTACTAGTCGATCAGGTGTCAACTAGGTATAACGAATCGAGTAATCCAGTGGAAAAGAATGTAACGGCTACTGTGGGTCTGGTGGTTCACGCTGCTGGTGAGTTTCCCATTTAATAACGTAATTATTGAGTTCTTACCATGATTATTTATTTGTTTTTATTGTGCCAATATTTCAATCCTCCCTCTAAGAGACATGGTCATAACATAACTTATAAGGGGGAAAAGGGATTGTTAGTTATGATGTCTAATATTATATAATTGCTAGTAATATACTAGTAATATGTTTGGATTTAGGGTTTAATTTCAAATTTTACTTCCATTAATGAAATCTGTTTTTAATGAATTCTTCCCTCAGTTTAACAACGAAGAATGGGATGAAAAGCAGTGGCGATATATTTTCTTATTCTATCACAACACGGGCACAGCTAATGACTCGTCTTCGTTATCTCAGCCATTATCTTGTCCACTGCTGAATATAGGCATCCCTTATAGATTGCTATAAGAAACGGTCTTATGCCATCTGCATTCACTGACTCCTTGCAATGTATTTGAGGTAGTCCACTCCATCTAGTTGTCATCCTACACTGCATTTTCCCATATCCGGTCGCCAGTCAAGAACCTTTCTTTTCCATCGGCTCTTGGTTCAGTTTGCTTATTTTTCGGGCTTTGTTGGTCACTTTGGTTCTTTGCAGATACCCTCATTTCGGATATTATTATGCAAAGAAACTCCGAGCATAGCCCTCTTCATAACTGACTAATGTTTAACCCTATTGATTTCAGCTGATGGTATTGCTTTGGGAGCAGCGGCCACAACCTCTCATGCCGACGTGGAGTTGATCGTATTTCTGGCCATTATGCTACACAAGGCGCCAGCTGCGTTTGGTCTTGTCACTTTCTTGTTACATGCTGGTTTGGAAAGGTAATTAATATTATGTATCTATCTTCACGCTAAGTCCTTTGCGAGGTAATCAGAGAAAGCCGAATGTTAAGTATTTTTTCATACATTTTTGTTATACTACCTACGGTGGCAAACAAGCATATGGCCTATCTTATGGTAACATCAGGAATGTATTATTTAATTTTACTACATAATTACATTTATGTATTTTTCAAAGGTTGACTACGAGAGAACGATATAGCATTAAATTTGTTTTATATGATTGTTAGTAATAGGGTCTAACAACCACATTGCTAGCAACTTGCCCGACCTCCACGTGGCCCCACTGGAAACCATCATACTGAATTTCAGGTGTATTCATCACGATGGGCTAACCTACCTTTTCATTCTCACTTATCATCCCTAACTTTTACTCCGCTAGCGTATACCTTTAGCTAAAGCGGGGTATCCGTTCCATTATCTTTCATTAAAAAACACTAGCACCGAAAGTGGGGAATGATTGTGTCCTGTCAAGTCGACCATCACGCATTCCTATCTAGAAACCACCGTGGTAAATTCCTAGGGAATTCCTCCCAATGGGCCAACTGACGAGTTCATTCTCGTCGTTTTATCCCGTCTATGTACTAGAGCCCTGTTATTGTATACTATTAGCAAGTCTGTAAAGAGTCATTCTAAAAAAAATATAATATTGATTTTCTGTTATTTTTTTTTTCAGAAATAGGATACGCAAGCATTTGCTTATATTCTCATGCTCAGCACCTCTACTAGCGCTTCTTACGTATTTTGGTATTGGAAACGAGAGTAAACAAACGCTGAGCGAGTTTAATGCAACAGGTAAAGTATATACATAACCTTTTACTCAACTGCTATGCCAGTATTCTACTGCCCTTCGTCCTGCTCTGACGTTGCCCTTCAGTATTAACTGATATGCCAGTTCATACTGAAGGGCAACGTCGAAATTATCTGTAAACTTTTAGTTTTTACTCACGACTTCGTAAGGATAACATGTTTATTGACCGGATTAAAAAGCCTATATCATTTTCTATATCCCATATAGTAAATGCACATCAAATTTCATGGTAACTTATTATATCGTTAAAGCACCCAGAAGTAATAAACACACAAAAGTTATAATTATGTAATTATTTAATACTACTAAAATGAATTCGAGTTGCTTGTTCTAAATTAGCCACAACCTAGGGTTGCCAGATGAAAATAGGTAATTATTGTAACTTAGGTTTTTTAATTCCAGGTATAGCCATGCTGTTCTCAGCTGGTACATTTTTGTACGTTGCAACTGTCCATGTGTTGCCTGAACTTACACACTCGCACTCACACACACACTCCCTCCTTCCCATGCAGGAGGGGGTGCCCCCCAAAAAAGGTTTTGGGGGATTACAGTTTTGCGAAATGATAATTTTAACTATTGGAGCATTGTTACCCTTACTTTTAACCATGGGGCATAAACATTAAATGGCAATTTTTTAAATAAATCAGATGGAACTTTTGAATTTATGTTGTCCTAGTATTAAAAAGACCTGTTTCAGCTATCGAGATAAGGGATTATTTAACAGGCAGCGATTACATTTATTTCTTGTATTATAATAAGTTCCTACTAGTGTAGTCTAGTTCGAAGGTGTTATAACAGATTGATTCAAACTGAATGAAAATACAAAAAAGTTTCATGTAGGATTTGTAACAAGAATTTCTAACAAAATGGAAGCGTGGCCTAACTGTTTGCACCTTTTGTTTAATAATAATAACAATGTTGCATTGTTCTGTTAGAATTCGACAACCTCAAATCTCTCATAAATCTATTTTATCAAAGTGTTTTATCCTTTTTAAATTAATACTAATTCGTTAGATTTATTAATGCGAAAGAAAGTTAAAATAAAACGCTCTAATAGCTAAAATAGGTTTGTAGGTTTTATTTTTTATGCATAAGGTGGTATAGTAAAATCTAACCATTAATCATTTATCAAAATATGTAATACGCTTATGTTACTATAATCTATGACCTGTCTGATAAGCTGAAAATTTGGTTTTAAATGTAGATGTACAATTTTTTTTTTAGTTTAAGTATTTACGAATTAGAGCTTAAGGTATTATCTTAGCCTGGCGACATACATCAGTTCTAATCAGAGACTCCGATTTAATTATTTGCTCTGATGAACCCCTCAGACGATTAAGGTTATAAAATGGTGTCTTTAGGGTCCCATATCTCAAAAGAAAAAACGGAACTCTTGTAGGATTATTTTTTTCTCAGGAACGTGAAATATCAAATATTCAAATTTGCAATCTCTTAAAGATATGAAAAAATTAAGCTTCTAAGCCAACACAATCAAAAATATTACCGTTTATAGTGTTTATTTTATTATTTGCGAAATAATTAAAACCTGTAGGCAACTTCCCGTGGACTGAGAGTCATGAAATTTTGTAAGAAGCAATTTTGTACAGCGCAAGTAGAAGGAAAAATCCGAAACCCGTAAAAGTGTGGTTACATCACAAAGTAATATATTGTTTTGCATATTTTGTACGGGACCCTCGGTGTGCGAGATATGCTGGCGGGGTATCAGTGAAGAATGATAGGAAAGGTTGAAGTCAAATCCGTTGGCCCATCGTGATGAATTCGATTGGAATTCTCCACGATGGTTTCATACTCAAGATTGAGTGGAGATCAATATGACAGGGTACAATGCTAGCACTGAAGCTCCATTTACAATACTCTCTCCTCTTTGATTTATAGAATTAACGACTTATTTGATATACAAATTAGGGAATCCGACTCTGTAAACTGACGCATGCGACCAGGCTTATTCATAAAAATGTCGAACATGAACCTATTTTAGCTAGTAAAGTGTTTATCTTTTTTTTTCGAGCCAAATCTATAAGACTTCATATTTACAATACAATCTATACACTATTATTGTGTAAGTATTGAACAGTTTGTATAATTAAGTCCTTAATATTAATTATAGGTATAATGAATAATAATTTAAGATAGTCACAAAACACTGTTAGAATAGGTTGAGGTTTGCTTTTTTATGAATAGATTAATAAAATAAATTTATCCCGACCCGACGGATCTATTTTCGAAGTCTGTTAGTTTAGTATAAGTGATACTTGTTTCTAAAAATGTGTAAAAAGGAACTGATTAGGAGTGTTTTACCGTGTTTGTAGCAGTGTTTAACATTCCCTGTTAAATTGAAAATAAAATATTAAGGTGGACTTAGATGAAAGGAATAAAAGCACAAAACAAAAACATTAAATCAGGAAAGTTGAGTCCAAAAGTTTATATTCATTTAAAGATTTTCCATAGTGGTCGGGTATCTATATTTATTTAGATCGAGTTTTTTATTTCGATATTATAACCGTTATTGGGTCAATATTATGTAATATATTACATATTGGCAACTACAATGTATAGACATTGCTATATATTAATCACTTCTAGCTAAACGAAAAAACAACCCATAAAACTGTTTGTAATGATAAAACAGTGTTCAAAATTATTGGCAATGAATTTGTACAACTACGAGCTTTTGACTATTGCCGCTTTTATGCTAAAGAAAAATTGGAGGAAAAAGGATTCGCTCATTTGACCTAAATTCACTTTTGCTGGATAGTATAACTAGACATCTAAATACCACAAATTTTGTTGTCTATTCGAAAATTTGATTTATAAATTTCAAAACTTTTAGTTTTTTTAAATCTTACTAAAAAATAATTTTACTTTTATTGTCCTATTCAGAAATCTTTTTGTGAATTTTAAGAGACTTAATAATACAGGCATTACGAACTTAAGACATAGTTTAGACTGCGTTAGTGATATGTTTGAACAACAAAATGTTAATCAAATACACTAGTAATTATTTTACAAAACTTCACGGCTATGAATTCTTGTAAACCCTGGTGAAACCTGTTAAAAGCTTCTATCTGGTTCAACAGACTTAAAAAAATTTAGATTATTAATTTGACTGCAATGTTTTGTGTGTGTGTTTCGTGCGTAGATTACGCAGTATACCTATTCAACAATTCTGAAGCAATTTTGGTGAATGTTCTTTTATTTTTAATTATAGGATGTTTATTATCTCGTGTTCATGCCGTGCTGATTTATCATGACTGATGTTGTTTTTCACTATCAAAACAAATGAAATTATATTTGGTTCGATTCCCGTGTCGGTAGGAATATTTATTAATTTTATTGTTTTATATAGTTATAGCTTAATTGAAGTTTTAACTCCTTTATTCATAAAATTTCAAATCAACTCCAATCTTTCAACCCAAATTAACTATTGCAGTCTTTTGTCACTTTCTTTCAAATTGAGAAATTAACGTGAAATAAAAATACAAAGCATTTCAATTGTTAAAATATATTTTAACTTGGCATTGTTATGAATAAGGGGGTTAGTACTCGTATATATATTTAAACGTTATAAAGTTTCGAAATTTCACACCGAATTATGTGTTTATGAAATAAGCTCCAATAAAAAAAAAAAATAAGCTACATAGTTTATATTTATATACATAGATGCCGCAATTGTGCTTATTATTTGCACCCCCAATATACGTTATCTTCCGTAAAAGACATAACTAGTACGCTGAATTAGCAACTCTTGAAGAGAACCATAAGCGATGTAAAAAGTACACATAGAAATAGTATTATTAAAATATGAAAATCATATCCTTTTCTTGTATGATTGAAATATGTATATTTGATTGGTTATAGTCGCGTCGGCGCGTTCAAAATAATATTCTATTTGTATGCGAAATATAATTATACCGTAAATTCGCCAAGAGGTAACAAACAAGCTCATTATTTTGCACATTTATTATATTAGTAATAATAAGTTTCATATTTTAATAATAGTAATATTTTATAACAATTATTCGTGATTAGTAATCGAAAAGGGTCTAATTATAAATAAATGTACATTTTGTTATGGTCGCGGCCTTATTATTGCGTGATTGAGAGGAAGCGATGAACATCTATCTTTTTCTTATCCTTTTAACGTATTTTCATATTATCATAAAAATTTACACTTTTGTTATAAAATTATAACATTCCAATATAGGAATAATCATTAGGATTTGTTGTATTATTTTATAATTTCATTGTTGAAATGTTTTTACTACTTTATGTAAAAGATTTTATAATAAAAAAATTAGGTTTTTTTTTAATAGATAAATATAAGTAAAACTATATAAAAGTCTGTGTAAAAGTATTCGATATTGTATTAAATTCTAGAAAAAATATGTAATATATTTGTTAAATTTTTTAAATAACTGTAAATAAAAAAAAATGGTGTATATATTTATGTTTCGTTGATGTAAAAATCCGTATTTTGCTTGACATATAACGATGTAATTTATTCTGTAATGGCTAGTGATGATGCTGTGTTCCTTTAAACAATTACACAACTAAATCTGTTTTTTAGACAAATAAATTTGAACAATACATTACTTTCATTTTTATTTACCATATCCCTTTATAGAAAAGTTGTACAAAAGTCGATTGCTTGGGTACCTCTATCCTACTCGTGTTTCAACCGTGAAGCAGTTGTGTTTGCATGGCTGTATTTCGGTTTGAAGGGTGGGATATGGCGTGAATTTACTGGGTACAGAGGAATAACACCTGAGTCCTCAGGAGTGGCAACGCATGAGGGGTATCATGGGCGATACTGTATACTCTGTCATGTCCATGGTACTGCTCATGTCTATAGGCGACGGTTACCACTTTCCATCAGATGGACCGTCAGCTTGTTTGCCATTCTAAGTTGTATAAAAAAACCCACTACTGGGCATAGACCTTTTCCCATAAGTGGAAAATATAAGCTGTAGTTTTTTTGTGAATGGATGATAATAGAATGGTATCCGGGCTCCATTATCGGTATATACTGGCGGGCACCAGATAATAAGTGAGTGTGTAAGCATGTCAGTAAGCCTATCGTGGTAATTTCAAGAATAAATGATGGTTTCCGGGGCGAACCGCATGAAGAACGATTTAATAAAGTCTATTACGAGCAATGGAGCCGCTAACCCCATTATTAAGCTACAGTCACTACATTGCTGGGCAGAGATGAGTCGCTATAACTCTATACTATAGGAATTATCTGAAAACATACAAAAACTAAATAAAGAATATAAGGGTAACCTTTGCTTAGTACCGGGAATTTATCGACATACAAAAAAATCGATTTCTGGTTAAATCCCAAACGACTTGGTCAAAGCTTTTCATGCAATCTAGTATAAAGTAAATTAATTTGTATCAAAAACTGTGGAAACCGAATATTTGTCGCTCCTTTACAAGACAATTTTATATTGTAGTATGTTTCAATTGAACTTATGAAAATGTAAACCAACGAATAATTAACCTTATGGTTAATTACTGTTTTATGACAGTCTGCAAATATTCATTAGAAATACAAATAAAAAATCGAACTGATGTTTCGAATCATTATTAATTTTATTTGCGGAGAGTGTTTCTGTTATAATTTCAACAAATATTTATATTCTTTTAAAATAAACAATAGTGTAAGATTCTTATTAATATAACACCTAATTGTGATGGGTAATTTGGCTTTATTATAAATTATTTGGCTATTTATTACTCAGAGATGCATAATCGGTCTGAACAGAGGTATCTACTCACATAAAAGGCTTATGTACAAAGACTCTATCAGAAAAATTAAAAAAGAAATCGTAAAGATATAAATTACTTAGTAGACAATGTTAGTATTTATTATTTAGTATGGACTCAAGGTTTTTGTCTTTAGGTCAAATATATTTACATAAATAAATACAAACGTAACAGGTATCACATTTTTATTCAATTAATTCCTATCCAGTCACCATGACTGAGTAGAATTTTGTTTTAAAAAAAAACACGTACTTATCCAAGTATTCAATACTAAATACAATAACACAATATTCAAATAAAAATGACGTATTGAAATCGGAGCGTCCATTTTAAGTTATTATTTCAAAATTAGACTTTAACCAGACGGAGACTTTGTACAAAACTCGTTTGCTTGAGTACCTCTGTCCCACTCGTGTTTCTACCGTGAAGCAGTTGTGTTTGCATAGCTGTGTTTCGGTTTGGAGGGTGGGATATGGTATGAATTTACAGGGTACAGAGGAATAACACCTGAGTCCTCAGGAGTGGCAACGCATGGGTGGTATCATGGGCGAAACAGTATACTCTGTCATGTCCATGGTACTAATCATGTCTATAGGCGACGGTTACCATTTTCCATCAGGTGTGCCGTTACCTTGTTTGTCATTTTAAGTTGTATAAAAAAAATTAGATGCGTAGTCATACGAGCAAAACTTTCAAGTGACTTAGGTTTAAGAACATCTGTCTTTTCATCGAGAATTAAATTCTCCAGCAACATGCTCATTAAATATTTACTTATATGAGGAAAAAAAGGATTGTCAGTTGTGACAAGACAGATATTAGACCCCATTCGATCTAATATCACCATTGTTAGCAATATATCCTATCAGGTCAACCGCGCAGTACTGCCTGGAAATCATCGTGGATAATTCTTGTTGGATTCATCATAGATGATCATTTAAATTTTTAGTCAGCAACATGCTCATTAAATATTTACTTATATGAGGAAAAAAAGGATTGTCAGTTGTGACAAGACAGATATTAGACCCCATTCGATCTAATATCACCATTGTTAGCAATATATCCTATCAGGTCAACCGCGCAGTACTGCCTGGAAATCATCGTGGATAATTCTTGTTGGATTCATCATAGATGATCATTTAAATTAAGTACTTAAGTAATTAATAAGTCATATAATAAAAATAGAATACCTAAAATTGGGTTAATTTATTTTAAAGAGGCAAAAAACAATAAAAGGAAATTATGTTATGTCCATGGTACTGCTTATGTCTATAGGCGACGATTACCACTTTCTATCAGGTGGGCCGTCAGCTTGTTTGTCATTCTAAGTTGTAAAAAAAAAAAAATAGAAGTATATAAATTAAAATTTAATACCTACCATGGCCACTCCAGAATTGATTGCTGCCCGCTCTAGAATGCGATTGAAGCTTCGAAAAGGGATGTTTAAGAGTAAATATTTGTCTTTTTTAAGTAGTCAACGCCCATTCTCCCCACTTACCCTATCCTCCTGGAAAATAATCGTAATAAAAAGTTGTTCGACAAATAGACATTTAGGTATTTAATAAGGAAAACAAAGTATTATTACATTTAACAGTAACTATTGAAAGTAGTTTGCCGTGTGGTCCTGGCAAAGAAAAGGCCATTCCCGTGTGTGTAAGAGGCTACTAAAGCAATTATTGGCGACAGATGGGTAGCAGGGTCTCTCTTAAAATATCACCAAAAGCCTAACTGCAGTTACCGGGGGAAGAGATTGTTAGTAATAGGGAGTTTAGTCCCCGTTGCTATCAATGTACCATATTAGGTCGACCTCCACGCGATTCCCCCTGGAAACTATCGTGACTAATTTACAGTTGAATTCGTCATGATAGGCTAACTGATCTGCCTTTTCATCGTCACCTATCATCTCTCATTGGTACTCTGCCAGTGTATACAGGTAGCGCAGACGGGGTTACAATGCCATTTTCACTCATAAAAAAACTGCATGTGCAAAACCGCCCGCCAAGCGTGTCAGTCGTTGACACAAACGTTAGCAAAACCTCCCAATGGCAAACTCTAGAAAGAAATGGTCCAATTCCCTGTCAAAATTGCTATTCCTGACCAAGGTAGCAGTCACGATAATGGTAAAGCAGAGTGTTAAGAATATTCGGCAGAGATTTTCAATTTGAATTGTCAAATTGTTTTCAGTGCCCAAATAACTGTGAAACAGTGGAGGATAACAACGATAAGCTTGTGGAAACTGTCGAAGCAGTAGGAGTTATATTTGCAGACCCACCACCGCCCAAAAAAATACCCCAAAACGGGAAACGTGGGAAATTGTGGTCTTAGTTTTCAACGTTTATATCAGAATATAGGCAAATCACCAAATATATAGAGTGTCACATACGCCAGTTCAATATTACATGCATTCAATAGGAAATATAGAGGAATTAAGAGAGATTTGGCTATTGGACGAAGCCAACTGACAAAATTAAAGACATCGGTGATATAATTTCCGCCGCATTTGAGATTTTGAGTAATATTGAGAAGTTCTATGGACAGCTGTACATAACATTGTTAACACTGTGAATAACAATACATTTAAAGGCTGATACGAGTATGATGATGATAGTAACCAATCCTTGGAAATCGTGAAAGAGGTGATCGAAATATGGGGATTGCATCCACCAAAATCGTGCCAATCGTTCTGTTGGTGAATTGTCTTGTCCCAACTAGTCTGGAACAACATGTCATACGGTTGAGATTTTCACACTCGAGAAAGATGCAGAAACCGGCGCTCTTAGATACTGCCCGCATTGTACGCCGGTTCCTTCCCCTGGGACTCTTAATCCCGGCCAATTGTGTTTCTGCCGGAGATAAGTTAGCCATCTCCTCTCTTTATGAAGCAAGATGTGAAATTTGTAAAAATAATAATAAAAGAGATTTTGAAAGATAATCCTGTCGTTGTTTTTACAAAACCAATAGACTGAGAAGATCGGATATAATAATAATAATCTTTTATTGAACTATAAACAGTGAAATTACATGTAGTCTTGCCTCCAAAACTAGCGTTAACTGTATGTCATGGAGCCATTGTCTTCCCAAGTTATAATTTAGTTATAGTTCTACATACATATATAGATTTACATCACTTAATAATATAAAAAGAAAAACAAAAATTTTTTAGTATGTAATATGTGTTTTTTGTGTGTGTGTGTGTGTGTGTGTTATGTGTACATTTGTATTTTATAAGGAAAATATATCTTTTTCTTTTATTTATTTATTATTATTTTCATCATTCCACTCTGCTAATCAATGTTTCTGTCTTCTTCAATTTTTTGCTTAATTTGATAATTACTAAGTTGCTTCCTTGCAAATTTACTTATAACATTAGATAAGGGATAACGTAAGCGTCTCCCAATAACATAAAGCGACGCTGGTACATCTGTGAGATATTCAGTGTGTTTCAAATAGGAATAAAATTGTCAACTAGCTTTACAAAAATCAGCAGCTCAATAAATTACCTAATTAAACTAGAAATTATGTAAATGAAATCATTGACAATGGAATGAAAACAAAAACTAAACTTTTGGAATGTTTTTTTCCGGAACATAAAAAATGTACATAAATTAATCAACTTCGTTACCTACACCTACGTGATGACTTTCTTTGTTTCTTTTTAATTCCTTTATTAGTTGAAAAGAGGCTTCAAAACAGCACATTTGCTTCTGTACGTATTTATTGACAATTTTATTTTCTTTTTTAAGTGTATTTTTACGGTATCTTATTTTACATTGTAAATATTTACCATATTAATTTAAAGAAGACACTACAAATATCTGCTGGGGTTCCACCTCATGTTTCCGCCGTGATGTAGCTATGCTTGCATTGCTGTGTTTCGATTCGAAAGGTGAGATATGACAGTGAAATTACAGGATACCGAGATATAACACCGCAGTTCTCTGGAATAGCAACGCAGGATGAGAACTATGGGCATCACAATGTATTGTAATGTATGTATCAGTGAGATTCATGATGTCTGTGGGCGAATGTAACCTCTTTACATAGAGTAGGGTGTCAGTTTATTTGCTAGTAAAAATTATATAAAAATGCTATAGATAGTTGGTAATGAAATTACTGGGTACGGAAGTCTAACATTTCAGTCCTGAGAAGTGGCAATATAGGCCGTGGTTCACGTCTATAGGAGATTACGAGTTTTCATTAAATTAAATAAATAAAAAAGAAAATAAAGTTAGAAAACGTAAACTTGCTCGTTTTTGCAAATAAATACTTTCTTTCATTTCTAGTTCTATTTACAATATAACTTTAACTAAAAGGTATTTTTTTTTTAATTATCACAGAATCACTCTCTAAATAAAATTAGTAATAACTACAAATCGATGCATTTAATTTAATCAAATAATAATTTGAACTACTATCGGACATCAGCAGACTGTTTTATGGTTGGATCAATTATTCTTTGTTTACATTTTCATTAAGCTCTATCGAAACAGACCAGCAGCCATGGATCCAGCACTTGCAATAGAAGTGGCAGAAATGTCCAAACAGAAGGCAATGAATGAAGCCCTACAGCGAGGTGACTCCGAGATACAGAAATTTTACGCAGGGCGCGTGGTGCTCCTCACCGGCGGGTCAGGTTTCATGGGAAAACATCTAATTGAGAAATTGTTAAGGTATTGTTACTAATAGCTACTAAAAGATAATTTTAGAGTGTGTTTCAATTGTTTTGTTGTTGGCAAAACTAGTAATTTTGTTATTACTATTAATTATTACAACGGAATCGTATCAAACCGGTTTTGAAATGTATGAAATGTATATTTCATTTTTTCTCTTTCACTTATCAGTTTGTAACGATAGTATATATTTTTTTACAGAGCGTGTAATTTGAAATTAATTTACATACTATTGCGACCAAAAAAAGGAAAATCTGTGGAACAACGGCTTGAGGACGTACTCATGGATCCAGTAAGTTCGTTATAACTTCTTGATATAACTGCCTTCGGATGTACCTCAAGAATGACGACGCATGATGTATCACAGAGTACTGTGACATCCATGGTGTTGTTTATGTTTATCGGCGACAGTTACCGTTTTTTATCAGGTAGACCGTCAGCTTATTTATGTTTTTAAGTTTAATAATAAAAATATTAAAATAAAAACACGTTACACGAAACCTCCGCTAATTTTGATCGAATTTGATATCTCTTTTTGCAATCGATAGAGTTTAAATCCGTAACGATTCACTATTAATTATAATGTATTTTATAATATAGTTCATGTTTATAGACAACGAAAACCATTTTCTATTAGGTGCACCATCAGCTTGTTTGCTATTCCAAATTGCACAAAGTATGCTTATTTCCGATATTATTTACACTGTCTGTAAATAAAGTGAATGTTTTAGAATTTAGTTGTTATAATATTTATAGAATAAATGTAACTATTTCTTAAAATCTCATATTAATAAATTAATTAAAATCGTAATTGGTGAAAACTATTTAAAATTTTTACTTATTTATTTTTATACTTAGGTTTATGAAAATTTACGAAATAGACAGCCAAATTTTAAAAATAAACTGGTGCCAATAGTGAGTGACATGACGGAAATCGGTCTGGGAATAAGCACGGAAGATGTGTTAAAATTAACGAACGAGGTAAGATTGTTGAAAAGTAATTTATGTTTATATATTAGGCTACTGTATTAATAACGTAATGTTACTTAGAAAAATATTATTAATATGATTATTTTAAAATATCAAAATGGAATTCCTATTTTATAAAGTTTCGAAGATTTTCATAGTTCCATAAATAATCAAGTATGTAAAGAGGGAAAATAGACAATGGGCGAGATTCTATGGTGGCATTTATTTAAATTTTTGTCTTTAATTAAAATTTAATTTGATATCATAGCGGAATCTTTAGTTTATTGCATAGAATGATCCAATTTTTTAAAAAGTATAAATCAAAATTATAATAAATTTAGTTTATGATGGTCTATAAACAAAAGATAAACAGTAATTTGCAAAACTGTCAAACTAACTAAAAATATTAACTTAAAAAAAAAAGATATAGAGGAATGTCTTCTCAGAATCAACTCCACTGTACATAATGTTGGGTAAATTTGAATTATTTAAGTACATCCTTTAATTCCTTTTGGTATATAGTGTTCTAACAGTAAAACTTAACGTTTTTAGGCAATAGTTTAAGATTGTTTCCCACAAAAAACCGACTTTAATTGTAACAAAACCAGTTATTTGGATCTAAAAACTAAACTACTGAGCAGATTTTCATAATATTTGTACGAAACCATGAATGTATGAACCAATCTGTAAGTAGATCCTTTCAGATAAAGTAATCCAAATCGGTTTAGAACTGGCGGCGTTATGAGCTAACAAACAAAAAACAAAATACCTACCGAATTAAAAACCTCTTTCTTTTTGAAATCGGTAATATATAGTAACACAGTACATTTATCTATCAAGTTAATAAGGAAGACTTCATTTTTAATGTTTTTAAAAGATATTTTGTTTGGGGAAAATGTTGAGATCCACTATAAAACACTTTTTTACTAAAGTTGGTAATGTTTTAGATTTACTAACTCACGCGAGCGAAGCCGTGAGATACAACTATTAATGGTGTGTTTATATTATGAATGGTGATATACATAAAACTTATTTCAGGTGGAAATAATAATTCATGCAGCAGCAACAACCAGATTTGATGATCCTCTGAAAAAAACAACACTGACGAACGTTAGAGGCGTAAGAGATCTGTTGGCTTTAGCTCGGAGATGCAAAAAACTTATGTATGTATTTTATAGAAACTTGAAACCAACAAAAAAGGAAACTGTATCATTTATAAGCATTTTCCTTTGAATTGCCTTACTTTAAGAGGCAAATCCTGTTATAGTAGTTAAGTATTTATGTTAAGTACCTGTGACTGTTCAGGTGCTTAACATAGGTTAACATCGTTAATATCTTAACATCGATCGTAAATTTATTATGCTATGCGAACCAATTGCAATAAGACGTATCAAACAAATAATATTATAAAGTTTAGAAGTTTAGAATCTAAAACATTAGGATATTATTTATTTGACATGAATTTATTTGATTATGTTTGAATTCAATAAAATTTGGATTAGAATGAAACTTAGAACGGCAAGCAAACTGACGGACCACCTAATGAAAAATGGTAATTGTCATCTTAACAGCACCGTGGATGTCTTAGAAAATTCTGTGATATCCATGGTACCCCTCATTCGTTGTAATTTTGAGGACTATAGTATAAAGCCTCTATACTCAGTAATTTTACTGTCATATTCCAGCCTTCTGACTGAAACATAGCTAGCGAACGCTGTATATACAGTTGTTGTATTTATTAATAGCTTTATTAATCAGATATCTTGGGGAAATTACTTTTGTATTTATATTTTTCTTCAATAGAGCATATATATTAAAAAGTATAGAAACAAATAGTTGACCCGACCATAAGAAAGTCTGCTGACGTTCAATGTCCGCTAACATAGAAATAAACGATTGGTCAATTGAACGTTTCGATTTAATACTATCCTTTAAATTAGGGGAAAGGGGATTGTTAGTAATGGGAATTAGTGACTCTATTGTTAGAAATATAGAGTATATTGTTAGCAATGTGGTCAGACCGAAGTCCCTGCGATTCCTCCTGGAAAAATTGAGGTTAATTTATTATGAATTTGTCACTCTGCTTTCGTTCCTTATCGATCATCTCTCACTGGTAACTCGCCAACATATTCCGATATTACAGGCGGGGGGATTCAGTCCATTATAAAAATACCTCCTGATTTCATTTAGAGAGTGTATTTCTGATAATTTCTACAGAATTTGATTAACTTTTCATTCATTCACATATACACTCTCTTACAAAATTTACTTTATTTTAGAAATTTATAATTCTTTTATTACTATTTCAGATCTTTTGTTTATGTATCTACTGCATATAGCGCCGCAACTTATGACAACATAAATACAGAGGTCTTAGAAAAATTTTATCCAACTCCTATAAATCCGAACACGTTGATAAATTTGGCTGAGCAACTTAATGACGAAACTCTGGAAAATATTACTCCTGGGTAGGTAGTTAATTGATTAATCAACCCTAGAAATACTAACCAGGGTAGACAAACCTAGAAATACTACCAGACAAATTTTTAACTACGTTTCTTATGTTAATCAGTTAAAATTTTTAGAGTGCCAAATAAATAGACTTTATTAGCAAAACATCATGATAAGTTTTTTTTTTATATAATATTAATATTTATTAGACAAACAGACAACATAAGGCCTATATTGTTAGTTATAAATTTACTTAACCTATATGTTAGTAAATGAGCGGTCATTACGCTCTTGCATTGGTAACCTGTCCCACCCAATATTTTAGGATGGGACAGTCCATTTTACCAGCAATTGTCTTAAGTAAAATATAAGCCTATGAATCTTCTTTAAAATTAGAAAAATAATTTGACTGTCTTTCAGCATTGTTAGCTATTTAAATTGATTTTTCTCCAACTAAACTTTGGTAAAATTGAATTTGCTCTTTACCGTTCTTTTTCGCAATGAAAAAATAAAAAAAAAATCATATACTTATGAGTCAGATTACTGCTTTCAGAACGATTTTATAAACTAGAAATCCGTAGAGGTATTTACCCCAGTTTGTACTTTACAGATAAAGAAATGAGTTTGTAGTTGTAGGTTTAAATCAAAGGAAGAATTCATAATAAAAAAATTTACTTCTTCCTCGCATATCATCCCTCTCTGTCACCCCGCCAGCGTAAACTAATTGCGCATGTGGAATTATTATTCCATTTTAATAAAGGTTGGGTTCCACAGAAAATCAACTTAAATTTTTTTTATACCGCTGAAGTGGCAAACAAGCATACGGCCTACCTGTTGGTAAGCGTAGCCTATGAACGCCTGCAATACCAGAGGTATTATGCGCGCGTTGACAACTGACAGAGTTATGAAGTAACAAACATAAAACAAAAATATAATCGAATCGAGAACCTACTTTTTGAAATATGCACATTTTGGTATCAAGTATGTTAGTGCGTGCGGTGCAGTAAGTGTTTGTTTATTCAGATCTTTATTAATTGTTAATTTAGCACTACACTTACTGGGTTAATGTGTCGCTCAACCAAGTATTTTACCTTGTTGTAATTTAATACAAGTACTTCTATATGTTTATATTTATTTCTTACTAACTTTTTGACATCAATTAAACCACTACTATCAAGATGACGTATCAAGATGAAACATACTATTTACAAATAGAGTTTAAAGAATACAATTATAAAAATCACATCCAATGTGATACAGTATTTTTGCGTGATGCCGAACTAACATACAGAAAGACAATTTTTTTTAATTTTTTTTGGCATCTATTATGACCCTTATATTAATTTTTTTTAATATCACCCGTTATACAGACATCGTCTAGTTACAAATTTATTATATTAGATTTATAACTTCGCCATATATTAATAATATAATTATCTGTGTTGTTACAAAATGTGTTAAATTAACTAAAAAGTAATTTGTAAATATAAAAAAAATATCACCGAATTATTTTTTAATTTGTGACTATTATATCTCTATATATATATGTCTATTATATATGTATTAAAAAAACAAACAGAATTTCGTGCCTCCGATCAAATTATTTATAATTACACGTCTTCATTCAAAGGTTATCTGGAAGAAATCATCATATCAGCTTTTAACTGTCCATTGCTGTTCATAAACCTCCTCCTAGGGGGGTATTACCAGTAGTTGCCACGCTTGGCAGGCGGATTGGCAACCGCAGTTCGGCTTTTGAGATGTTTTAAGAGGGATGCAGCAGCCTATACCTCGCCCTTCTTAGTTGCCTCTTACGACACCCACGAAAAAGGATGGGGTGGCCTATTCTATGCCAGGACCACACGGAAGACTGGAAGAGATCGCTATTAGGAAAAAGGCTACCCACTTAGTTCTTGCTTAGTGTAATTTTAATTTGTTTGTATTTATAATAAGTTTACTAATATAATCTTTTGGAGAAAATTTAAAAAGAGTATTTATCTATTTTTTTTTTTTAGATTAATAAAAAGATGGCCAAATACATACACGTTCTCGAAAATTGTAGCAGAAGATTTGATAAGAAGCAACGCAAAGGAGTTGCCTATTTGTTTAATAAGACCACCTATTGGTACGTATCTGTATTATAATAATTCTAACTAATATTATAAATATCGACAGGGAATTCATACTCACACGCTAGGACGTAAATGGTTGCGTGCAGTGTGGTTTTTTTTTAATGGGTGATAATGGTATGGTCACCCCGTCTGCGCTACGCTGGCAGGGCACCAGTGATAAATAATCGATGAAAATGAAAGCGGGTCAGTTAGCCCATCCTGATAAATTCATGAATTACGATGGTTTCCAGGGGGAACCACGTGGAGGTCGACCTGACAAAGTATATTGCTAGTAATGGGGCTATTTGACTCCATTACTAACAATCCCTCCTCTCCCCCGTGCTGTGTGGTTTCAGAGGAATTTTTTCCGCGAACGCTCAAGCAGTGGAAAGAGCTCTCTGCTGAGGTATTTCCTGAAGACTACAGTATGGGGTTCTTCAAAAAGTGTAATATGTAAAATGCACGTTTTAGTAGGCGTCTGTGTGCTACAGTGACCACGGTCTTTATTATACCAAATTTTTTAATAACTCAGTTCTAACTTTCACATTTGTATAAAACTCACTTTATGGTACTCCATCTTCGCAAGAGTATATTAATAAAGAAAATAAGATAAAATCTTCCCTATCATTTATTCACAAACATTTATATGGCGTTTAAAAATACAAAGTCTTAACTTTTCTGTATGGGTTTTCAAACGTTTTTTAACATAAACCTTGTCTAGACAATTGAAAAAACAACAAAAAATTCCTAAGTTAAATAATAATGAGCACAGCCGTTCTGAAGTTTTTTTTTTTAATGCAACTTGACTGACAAATAAGCTGATGATCCACGTAATAAAAGTAGTAACTGTCGATATGAACAGTACCATGGACATAACAGAGTATACTGTGTCGCCTATGATACATTTCACTTGTGGGAACTAAGGTATTATGGTATTGTATTCTGATAAAGTACCCTTTAAAAAAGCGAAACGAAGTGATGCACTTATATACATTCGGTAATAGATTTTTATTTATATTTAAAAAAATAAAATAATAAGTATATTTATTTAACTTTTTATTGCACCATAAACAAAAATATACAATGACAATTAACAATTCAAATGAAATACAGTATATTATATCCTTTTTTTTTTATTCTAACAATATCTTTTAAGTATTACTACCTGTACAGGATAAATATCCTTACTTACTTATCTAGTGTATTTTTCTTTATAATAATGCAGTTAATTAAAATTATAAAATTAAAAATGTATTTATTGGATATTTATTTATATTTACATTTATATTTTATTCTTATAATATAGAATTTGTATTACACTTTTTCAGTAATTGCATCTGCGTTAGAGCCTTCTCCAGGGTGGTTGGATAAGAGTTGTGCATTTGGTGCCACTGGGGTAAGATTCTACTGCCTTTCTAATAGCTTAATTAATATAGGCGATCATCATATCTTGAAAACGTTTTTTTTATACAACTTAGAATGGCAAACAAGCTGACGGCCCATCTGATGGAAAGTGGTAACCGTCGCCTATAGACATGAGCAGTACCATGGGCATAACAGAGTATACTGTTTCGCCCATGATACACCCCATGCGTTGCCATTCCTGAGAACTCGGGTGTTATTCCTCTGTACCCTGTAAATTCACGCCATATCCAACCCTTCAAACCGAAACACAGCTATGCAAACACAACTGCTTCACGGTAGAAACACGAATGGGACAGAGGCACCCAAGCAATCGACTTTTGTACAAAGTCTCCCTCTGGTAAACGTGACCTCACTATGTAAGATTTTAATTTGTAATTTATTAATATTAACCATTAACTGTCTACTACTAAACATATGGTAGGCCTCCCCTATGAAAGGGGAGTGGTGTGGATGTCAGTAACTTCCACGCTTAGCAGGCGGGTTGACAACCACAGGTAGGCTTTAGTGATTTTTTAAGAGGGATATCTATCGACCATTAAGTTCCCTTAATCACCTGTTACCATACCCACGGGGTAAGGATGGAATGGCCCATTCTATGCCAGGACCACACGGTAACGACATCATATATAAATTAGACAACAAATACCCATAAAACAACGGTACCAATAAGGGAGGAGAGGGATTGTTACTAATACGGACTACAAACCCCATTGCTAGTAATATACATGTCAGGTCGACCTCCACGTGGTTCACCCTAGAGACTATCGTGCTGAATCCCAGGTTTACTCATCACGATGGGCTAACTACCTGCCTATTCATTCTCATCTGTCATTTTTCACTGGTGCCCCGCCAGTGTATACAGTTAGCGCGGGCGTGATTACCATTCCATTTTCTCTCGTTAAAAAAAAAATAACAAAACGGTGCCACTGACCTGTAATCCAATCCAACGTGCTATTAAAAATAGTACACATACGGAACCAAACCAATAAAGACGGCTGACTGCAGGATATGGAGACAGTTTGTTGTGGAAAATTTAAATAAACACACACGATAGTTGTCAAGTGCAATTATTTGTATGGCGGTATCTTAAATAAATTCGCTTGAAGGCACATTAAAAATTATATATTTTCATAAAAAAATGCAGGGAATATAATTTAGTGTGGAGCAGGAAAAATATTTTTAATAATAACAAATGACGAATACTTTTTTTTAAAAAACACAAGGAGTTCCATTTTATTAGTGGCCAGTTATAATTTTCGATTTTATAAATAGCCAGTTACATTTGTAGGACTTCAGTGCGTATCTGGACCAGAATATTCAATCAATAGGTATCCCAAAGTTATAATCTATCTGAAAATAAGATCTGAAGACAAGAGAATATAAATTTGTGGAAGATAAAAATATCTAACTTAACCAATTGCAAAATTTTCAACCTATTATTTGGATAAAATTCCCGATTGTGGACTTACGTATAATAATTACCAACTCTATCCCGTGGCTCTGCTCGCGTAAATCACATGAAGTACGGTATATGGGTATAACCTACCCGTATACCAAATTTTATTCAAATCCGTTCAGTACTTTTTGCGTGAAAGTGCAACAACAACACACACAAGTGAAACAAACAAACACAAACTTTTGCGTTTATTATAATAATAGAATTTTCAGACAATGAAATGATGTCTCTGATGATTTGCAATACAATTTTTATTTAAAACCTATTATGTTTTCAGATTATTATAGGCCCCGGATTAGGTGTGATACATGCTGCAATTATAGACAAAGATGTCAAAATGAATATGATGCCTGTTGACATGGTTAATAATTCAATAATAGTAGCCGGATGGGAAACGTCCAGAAGATGGGTAGTTGGTGACAGGGACATTCAAATATATAATATTTCAAATTCGCGAAACCCTATTGTTTCAGGTAAACATTTTACAAATTCAAGTGTTAAACAGCAGATACTAGTATTAGTAGTTGTTAGTCCGTCAGTTACAACTTGGATTATTTTTTATCTGAAAGGATATACTTTCAAATTGGTCCTATAGAAATTTAATCAAAATTGATTAATTTTGATTAAATTTCTATAGCACTTGAGTTTTTAAGTTAAAATAACTGTATTTGTATTTAAAATATATGTGAACAACGCGAAAATTTAAAATTAACTAAATTCGTATTTCTCATTCTCTCTTTTTCAGGTGAATTAAGTAAATTGGTGAAAATTAAGGGGCAAAATCTTCAAACACCAAAAGCAATTTGGTACACTTATGTTATTGAATCGAAATATAAGTCTGTTGTATATCTACTTACGTGGTTCCTTCATTTCATACCGGCGTACTTTGTGGATGGTATACTGTCGATAATAGGCAAACAACCAATGTAAGTATAGATTATCTATGATATGACACACCCCTCCCTAATCCATAGAATTAAAAATGTGTCAGTAAAAATATTTAAAAGTTTTCGAATAAAAAATATAGTTCTCGTCTGTAAAAAACCAGGAAAAAAAGTTAATATAAGCTTTTTTTTTTCCTTTTAGTACCTGTTGTTTATTTACCCTAAAAAATAAGACTCATTGAGTTTTACACCACTACATAATGCACACATTTAATTTTAATTTTTCACGTTTATTTTTGTTCCAGGTTGATTAAAATATACACGAAAGCGTGGAAAATTAATTCACTATTATCATATTTTATGATAAACGAATGGACCTTTGTTGACAACAATACTTTAAATTTATACCAAAGCCTATCAAAAACTGATCAGAACATTTTCCCATTTGATTGTAAAACCCTTAATTGGGGTGACATGATACTCGTTTGGATTATAGGAATCAGAAAGTACATAGTTGAAGATGGTTTGAAGAACACAGATTTGGCTTTGAAGAAACAGTTTTGGTTTAGAATTCTACATTATATTGTTTCCGCAATTTATCTTTACGCTTGGTGGAAGTTTCTTACATTTTTGTATTCGATTCTATGTACAGTTTTCAATTTTTAATGTATAATTGGTTCGTATAGAAACAACAATAAAATAAATAACCTATTTCTTGATATTTTTATCTATTAAATGTGCTAAATATTGTACTGTACTAATTCGAGGGGTATAAAGACTAATTTTTTTTATAACATAGGACGAATACATAGCTTAACTGATGGTGAGTGAATACCAATGCCAATAGGCAGCTGCAACAGAGAAATTACAGGACTAAATGACTATGTATTGTATATAATTTATCTAAGGATGAAAATCATATTCTATTAACTATAATGTTTAAATAATTTAGAAATAAATATATTATAATCTGTCTTTTTTTTATTAAAGTTTACTTATATATTTACCAGAAAGAGACTTTGTACAAAAGTCGTTTGCTTGAGTACCTCTGTCCCATTCGTGTTTCAACCGCAAAGCAGTTATGTTTGCATGGCTGTGTTTCGGTTTGAAGGGTGGGATAAGGCGTGAATTCACAGGGTACAGAGAAATAACAGCTAAGTCCTCAGGAATGGCAACGCATGGGGGGTATCATTCGCGAAACAGTATACTCTGTTATGTCCATGGTACTTGCTCATGTCTTTAGGCAATGGTTACCACTTTCCATCAGGTGGACCGTCAGCTTGTTTGCCATTCTAATTCCATTCTAATTTGTATAATATATATATATATATATATATATATATATATATATATATATATATATATATATATATATATATATATATATATATACACACCCTAACAATTTTTTACTTTACTTCATCTTATCGTTAATTCGTGAGGATAAAATCAGATCAGTTAAGCCATAGTAACAAATTCACGGTAATTAAGCAATATATTATACTTTCCAAAAGGGATTACTAGGAGGTCGATCTGACAAAGAATATTGTTAACAACAAGACTGTTAGTTAGTTAACTATCCGTCCCATTGGCGAAGGCACAACTTCCTAAATGGCATTGTAAAAGTCTGATATCACCGGGTGTGACTTTAGAGGCAGACTTTGTAAAAAAGTCTGTTTGTATTCGTACCACTTGTATTTTTGCCATGAAGCAGCTGTGCTTCAGTCTAAAGGGTGACATGTGGCAACAGGGTAAGTGAAAACAGGGTATTGATAACATCAACAGCATAATTATTATTTCAGTCGTTATCTTGGTCATAAATTGCCATAAAAAATGGAAACGTTCCTTATGGCAGTTTATCATTGGGGGGATTTTGCACAGTAGTTACTAGGCTTAGAAGGCGGACTAGCTACCGCAGTTTAGCTTTTGGTGACGATTTAAAAGGGACTCTGTAGCCCATTCCTTGTCCATTAAGTTCCATTAATCGCCTCTTATTACACTCACGGGAAAGGAAGGGTCGATCTTTCTATGGCAAGACTACACGACACCACGATAGTCCTCAGGTATGATATCTATAAATATCAGACATATCGAATATCTATATATATATATATATATATATATATATATATATATATATATATATATATATCATAGAAGTAAACATTTTCAGCATTCTTATATTTTTATTTCATGACAAGTTTGTCTTTGGTAATACCTCATCTAAGTCAGACATGAGATAAAGTGTTTAATCCAAAAAAACTCTATTAATCTTCTATGTCAAATTCTATAATAGGATAAGTTTATCCGAGAATATAGATACAGGAATTGTAATATCAAATAACAGCATATGCTGTTGGCACTGTATATTTTGGGATTCAATTTTTATAATTTTACATGAATGAACAAGTTGTATTTTCATGATGTTAATGTGAAAGTTGATAGAAAAACTATAAGAAATACCAACAGAAACCGCTTGCTAAGGTCAAATTAAAATAAAACAAAACGATTTTTTCATTTGCATATATTTATATTTATATCATATTGTTATATTTATATCAGGTCCCAATAACATCGAATTAAAAATATAAGTTCTAATTAAAATCAAATTTTAAAATCCAGTATACAAATACAAAAATATACCACCAAATAAATATGTAAACTGCTAGTACAATATAATTAAGCATTTTTAACCAAAATTGCTTTTTCATACTGGCATTTGTATCTTTAAGGCCGTCTCTTAAGATATATTTTCTTAATCCTACACCCCATATTAACAGCATCTCTTTCCAATTAATAACTTTAGAGTCAAAAGCGAAAATGTCTTGATCAGTTTTACATAAACTTTGATACAACTCCATGGTGTTTTTATCGGTGAAAATCCACTCGTTTGTGGTGAAATGGGATAAAACTGAAGTGATTTTCCATGCTTTATTGTACACTTTGTTTAATCTGAAAAATAAAAGTATTATAAAACATTTTGAAATACGAGTAAATAATACCAGAGGGAGACTTTGCACAAAAGTCGTTCGCTTGGGTACCTCTGTCCCATTCGTGTTTCAACCGTGAAGCAGTTGTGTTTGCATGGCTGTGTTTCGGTTTGAAGGGTGGGATATGGCGTGAATTTATAGGGTACAGAGGAATAATAATTGAATCCTCAGGAATGGCAACGCAAGGTGGGTATCATGGGCGAAACAGTATACTCTGTTATGTCCATGGTACTGCTCATGTCTATAGGCGACGGCTACCACTTTCCATCAGGTGGGCCGTCAGCTTGTTTATCATTCTAAGTTGTATAAAAAAAAGAAAGAAATATTCTACACTACTCAATGGATTTTTTTTTAATCATTTAGATATTTTTTTAACAAAATTTATTACGTTATGTCGTTAATGTATAATATAAAGAAAATTAAGTAACGACTGAATCAATTGTTTTAGCAATGCAATATGCAATATATAAAAATTACATCAGGTGGGCCGTCAGCTTGTTTGCCATTCTAAGTTGTATAAAAAAAATAAAGCAATAGAAATTATTTTAAATAACGTAATATATTTAATTTCTTTTTTAAGTTTAATTCTATTTTATATTCTTTAATTATTTAAAGTAGATTAAAATAAAATATTAAAAAGGTATCCAAATGTATTTGACAATTATTTTTCAAGATATCACTATTCTAAATAATGACCTAAAATATGCAATAATATAGACCACAAGAGATATAATTTGGTTATACTCACATTGGTTCTTTGCCGATTATAGAAAGTACTCCATCTACAAAGTATGCTGGTATAAAATGAAACAGCCAAGTGAGTAGGTATGCCACTTGAAGATACTTCGTTTCAATTGCCGTGCAATACCAGACCGCTCTTGGTGAAATTATACTTCTAAGATCGGTTTTCATGTAGGAATTTAAAATACCTGCAAAGCATAAATTCTTAGTTACATTTGAAGACAATTTGTTACAAATAATAGGTACTGCATAATCACATTCATGACCTGGTCTTCTAGGTAAGATATCCTGTCTTACCTTGTCTTGTGTTGTAACAGCCGTCGAACATTTGGGGGAACAACCTAAACCACCACAGACTGACTATGTCCACTGACTTGAGCCAGTTCAGAAAAGTTTGTTTCGCCAATCGGAAATGGAACCCGGGAATTTATTTACACGAAGAAATGTAACTACTACAGTACCACGTAAGTAGTTAAAATAAATCTAATTTCATTTTAAATTAGATATTTACTTATTTTAAAAAATTCTACTATATTAATAGGTAGGTACAAATAGTATTCTATGTTTTACCTACAGGATAAGTAGGTTAACATATTATATAGACGCTTGCCATGTCAAGAATACTGTGTGCATTGGTTAGTGTAATTAAAACTTTTTACGCCTTTTTTAAAGAACTCCAAATTGTATTTCAAAATTTAAGAAACTTCGAGAGAAAACTTTTATGAAACACACTGAGACATAGACAAAACCATAGATCATATAAGATCTATGGTTTAAGCATAAGAATATAGTATTCTTATATTTTGGGACTATAGATATTAGTTTATTAATAACCTTAACATTAAATTTGTTAGCATTTATTATTCATTAAGTACACAATTGCCTCTTCTTTTAAATAAATATACATATATCTAAACTCAAAACCACTCACCCCAAAGGCAAGGATTTCTGGAATTACTGACGGTGTATATCTTTGTATCTTTACAACCTGATAACCATCTTGTAGACGTCTTCCATCCAGCAGCAATAATAGAATTTGTTACCATATCTACTGGTATCAAGTCAATCTTGATATCACGATCAGCTAAGACCACGTGGATGATGCCTAACCCAAGACCAAGAAGAATCTAGAAAAAATATGATATTTTTTTATTACGAGTACAAGAAGTACTGTTATATATACATGTATATATTTTTATTAGGAGAACAATTGGAAAAATTTCCGGATAAACGTAATATCTTTCTTTTTTTCTTTTCCCCACATGAGCTGTTTTGTACGTAAATGAATTGCAACAATCAAATAATTTTTAACAGAAAGACGTCTGTTAAGTAAGCTAAGTGAAAATAATAAAATATTCCTCTTGATCTTACCCCACTAGCTCCAAATACGTTACTCTTGTCCAACCATCCCGGTGAGGGTTCGCTGTATGACCCTATCACTGTGAAAGGCAAATTACGATTCATTAAATATAAACTGAAAGATTATTACAGTAAAATTCAATTTTCAATGCACGAAGTTAAATTATAATACCAGAGAGTGACTTTATACAAGTCATATGCATGGGTACATAGTCCCATCCGTGTTTCTGCCTGAAGCAGCTATGTTGGCACGGCTGACTTTCAGTTTGAAGAATGGGTAATGGCAGTGAAATTATAATGCACGGAGATACAACATGTTAATCCTCAGGAGTGGCGACGCATGAAGGGTGCCATGGGCATCACAGTGTATTCTACGATATCCATGGTGCTGTTCATGTCTATAGGTGACAATTACCATCTTATGGAGAGTAGTAATTGTTCCCTATATAGACATAAATGGCAGTTTTGTTGTTTGTTGCTCATTCTAAGTACGAGTATAATAAAATAAATTTGCAATTTGTTTTACAAAATTATTGTTTTATAGAAAAATATAAATATACAATCTTACAACAATAAATTCCTGATTAATACTCGTATAAATATTGTTAATATAGAACTAATTTTATTATAAGTATTTATTTTGTCATAACTTTGTAATAACTGTTGCATGCCAGTAATGACAAAATATGTGAAACTTGGTGAAATCTAAAAACAAGGAATTACAGAAATCTTTGGGTGAAACCAACTTTTGTAATAAATTTCATTCATTCCTTTCACTTATTCATTAAACCTAATTTAACTAAAATAATTCAATTTATCCACATGACATCAGTATATCGAAAATATTATTTACGAAAAATTAAATTGACGTCTTAATATGTTTTACAAATCACGCAATAACTACTGCACCAAATTGAAAACGTTTATCACAGTTATGTTCCTGATGGTCACACTTAAAATCTGATGTGTTTTTTATACAAACAAGCTGACGGCCCACCTGATGGTAAGTGGTAACCGTCGCTTATAGACATGAGCAGTACCATGGATATAACAGAGTATACTGTTTCACCCATGATATCCCCATGCGTTGCCATTCCTGAGGCTCAGGTGTTATTCCTCTGTACCCTGTAAATTCACGCCATATCCCACCCTTTAAACTGATACACAGCTAAGCAAACACAACTGCTTCACGGTTGAATTATGAATGGGATAGAGGTACCCAAGCAAATGACTTTTGTACAAAGTCTCCCTCTTTTAAATGTACCTATATTTAATCTTTATACTCTAGAATTGGTTCTTCTAAAATCCACATGTACATAGGATTAGGTAAAAACTAGTTGCTAATAAACTGAAAAGAGGAATTATAAAATATAAACTTAACATCTACTCACAGGTCAGAAAGTCATATTTAGTAAGTAATATTAAATTTTCTTCGACTAACCAATTGTTGGCCTAACAATGCAGATTGGTAAGTCCTCTTTGGTGAGCCGAATCAGTTCTTCAGTTACGATTTTTGTAAATGTATAAGTATTTGGCCACTGCTTTGTTAGTCTGGAATTATAAAAAAAAAAACAAAATTCTAGCCATAATAATGGGGAATGTCGTTATCAAAGTACTAATATCTTTTCTAAATTAGGTTTTTTTGTAATATAGAATGGCAAAGAAGCTCACCTGATGGAAGGTAGTACGTAATCGTCGCCTACAGACATGAACAGCACCATGACCACTACAGACTATATCGTAGCTTTCACGGTATCTCACAAGTGTTGCCATTTCTGAGGATTATGGTATTATACCTACGTACTTTGCAATTTTACTTATTCCATATGAATTTGCATTACCCATACTTCAAAACGAAACACAGTTATGCAAGTACAATCGCCTCATGGCAGAAATACGAGTGGGATAGAAGTACCCGTGAAGGTTACTTTTGTAGTCTTCCTCTAGTGAAACTACGTGAACTGAACTTTGAAATCTATGTACTCGTAAGTAAAAATCAACTGCTGAATGTTTATAAGAGCATCACTTCAGAATGGCTGCATGTATTTGGCTATTTTCTTTTATTGTATTCGTAACTGTCATACAAGGGCTTGTATGAAAAAAATTAAAGAGAGATTTGGTTACATTTTCTTTATCAGTACACACGCGAGAAACCGGTGCGTTAGTTAGGAGCGTTAGTATAGTTTATTATAGGTACTCAAATCGGGTTAAATTTTACATTATTTTATTATAAGTTTGATTATATGTAGTTTAGTTTACGGTTAAATAAACAATTTTATTGAATACCCTTAATACGTGTGTTGTAAACAAATAGTGCTTAGTGTCAGTAAATAATGGATATTATTATTATTATTATTTATGCGAACCCATATAACGATATAATAGTCCTAACGTTCTTGATTTCCTGCAGATGAGTGGGTGGTATATGTATAGTTTTTAAAATAATAATATGATTATTATCCTTATGAGTTTAAATTATTACAAGACCAATATGGTTAATATTCCTCCATCTACCTATCTAGTCTATACAACTAGTTAGGTATAAATAAATAATGTATAAGCCTATGTAATTAAATAAAATAATATTTCCGCTTATTTTTTACATAAAATTCGTGAGTTTTTTTTTATCTAATTGTTCTTTATTATTATTTATGTTTTTTATTTAAATTTTCTTCCCCATGAGGGTTGACGTCAAGCAGGCAGCCGGTTGTAAGCCAAATCTTTTTGTAATATGGATAAAAAAAAAAACATATTACGCCGATCCCAAATAATAATTGGGATAAGGGTAGGAAGATGATATTGAAACTATTCAGATAAATATTCAATTGTTCCGTTACATATTCATAGACTTCTTTTTTTTTAATATCCCAAGGACTTTTACATCTAACTCAAAGATTTTTATGCATAAAATATAAATGAAAAAATTTGATTTATTTGTTACATTAACCGTTATGTTTATACAGAACCGTAATGTTTGAATAACAGTCGCAACGGATATGTATCATTATCATGTCTACTGTTGAACATAGATCTCCTCCTAATAGGGGATTTTGTCAGTATTTGCCACTTTTAGAAGGCTGGTTGGCAACTGCAGTTAGGCTTTAGTGATGTTTAATGAGGGACGCTGCTGCTTATCCCTTGATCATTAGGTTCCCTTAGTTGCCTCTTACTACACCCACGGGAATGTGCCCCATTCTATGCGGGAATCACACGGCGTATATGTATATATGTCATTTATGTATATAATTGTATGTACTAACCTTAAGGCCACATCTTCTAATGCTTTGTTATTGAAATTTTCAGCAATATTTATCAACGTGTCGGGTTCTATAGGGCTTGGGTAGAACTGCTCTAAAATACAAGTTTTTACGTTGTCCTTTGTTGCAAAACCGTATGCAGTGGATATGTAGACGAAGGATCTGTGAATCAATACATTTCTATAACTGGTGAAAAATTACTGACTTCTAGAGTACCAAGAGTTACAATGTATCTAATATTATTCCAGAACATTCTGCACAATAGTCTACTTTCAGCTGTTATATATCCATTGTTAAACATAGGCCTTCCCATAAATTGGGGGTTTTGCCATTAGTTGCCACGCTTGGCAACTAATGGCGGCTTTGGTGGTGTTTGGAGAGGGATGGTGCTGCCTATTCCTCGACTCTTAAAGTTCTATAGTTGCCTCTTACGACACTCACGTGAAAGGAAGGAGTGGCCAAATTTTGTTACAATTAGTTGACTTCTTGCGCTTCAGCACTAAGAAGTAACTAAATGTGGGAACAAAATAAGTAATAAAATACAAAAGAGATATGAAACGAACTAACCATTTCCTCACTTTTTAGTCTTATATAAGTAACTGGCAAATTATAATGTTTACAATTGCCTTTTCGATTTACGAGGTTTCATGGCAGTTATACAGGTAATTAGATATTACATTTATTATTACAATGCCTTTACCTTAATGTATATAAGCTATAACAAACCTGAGTTTCTTACAATTTTTAGCGAGAGCCAGAATCTCTCTTGTTCCCCTTACATTAGTAATTGTTGCATTTCTCAATGTTTCATCAAATCTTGTTGTGGCAGCTGCGTGAAATATAATTTCTACCTACAATAAATTAATTTGAAATGTTATCATAATAATTCAATCAACAAAAAGTCGAAACTATTTTTTTTTAACATGAAGTAAGCAGTTACATATTTATTTACAATAGTGTTTGATGTATTTACATTATTTTCACTGGTACCTTTTCTGCACTAGATTACCCAAATTAAATCATTTTCTCTCTAACTACACTGGGTTGGCTGGAAGAGATCTCTTTTAGAGATAAGTCCTCTCTTGCTAACAAGTTGTTAAACTAATTGTCGAATATATTGTTTAAGTGCAATAAAGAATATATATAATAAGCAGTTGTAGTGAAGAATTAGAACTGAAATTAGTCTTGATTCCATTAGACCAATATTGAGGTAAATTGCCAGCAGCCAAGTTTGAGCACTTTTGACGTACAGAGTGTGATTGTGTAGTACTTATTTATTATTATATTTATTTTATTTGTATCTATTGTTGAGGGATTTACTCCAATAGCACATCTCCGTTTAATCTATGTTTTGTGCCGTCAATTTTTGTCGTAACTTTGTATATTCATTTAAATTTATAAATTTGATTAGACAAAATGACTATCACAAATACACACAACTATCTAAATTGTTTTAGGTAGTTATTTAAATAACTTATTTAATTTTAACGAATCCATACTTCCTTTGTAATTTTTCTTCTATCGTCATTATCAAGTCCAAGGCCAAGTGTATTTACGTCTCCAATTAAAGGTACTAAAGGGTTTTCGAAATTCGATCTTTTCTGTCGAAGATTATCAAATACCTGCAAATAAAATAATATTATAATTTTATAAATAAATTATACCCAGTAATATTTAATTGGATATTTTTTATACTACTTTGGTGGCAGACAAGCATACGACCCTTCTGATAGTAAACGGGTTTACCGTAACCTATTGACGCCTGTAACACCAGAGATATCACGCGCACGTTGCCGATCCTTAAGAAACCTTAATACGTACATTTTGAAGAAGTCCATGCTCTCTAGGCAGATCTCGGCAGGAAGATCATTTCACAATCTTAGTGTTCATGGCTCTTTTGAAGCCGCACTGTGCAAGACCATTTTGTTTTCAAGATTATGGAATGATTAAACACGAGTACCATTATTATCGATATGTAATCCGATCCCATGAATACGCGTGTTCATTGAAACCGACTGTTTAAATTTTAAGGCATACAAATGAATTCCTTATCCTTAAGACAGAGAGATATAATTTCATTTCAATTTTGAATGTTTTATTATTATAGTAAAAAGTATATAATAAAAATTGATGTGTCAATTGGAAGAAATACGCACCGGATCCTGCAGAATCTCATGTAGACGTGAATTTACAGATTTATTCCTTTTTGCTCGCATCAATAAATAAATTTTTTTAATGTCACACGATCTGTAAATGAATACACCTAATTATCTTTAATTTGGAATATGGAAATAAAATAGATTTTGGATTTATTACTGGAATATATTCTGTACTGACAATTTATTGATTTTATTTAAGATTTAAGGTTTTTATCTATGAAACACGCGTACAAATAAATAAAGATGTTAACAATATACTTTTGTTCGACATATTTAGCCCATATACAAAAATATGTAGGTATAGAGACAGTATTCATTAGATAATTATATTATTAATCCAATATACCGCCTTTTACTCTCTTTGTTTAGTGTAACAGTTAACTGCAATACTGGTTATACAAGTACATATTATATTGTATGCAAAAGATGAAATAAATAAAACTTGGATATTGGAATAAGTAGCAAATTTATTTCAACACGTATTAAATAAATACCTGAGTAATTTCTCTATAAGATGCTTCCCCAGAAATCCGGAGCCACCTGTGACGAGCACTACGCACCCTTCGTAAAACTGTTGTATCTCAGAATCTCCCCGCTCCAGAGCTTCGTTCATTGCCTTATGTTTTTTCAGTGCTGCTTGCTCTATCGCAACAGCTGGATCCATGGTTCTAACGGACAATATAATTACAGGTTATAATCACGGAGATTTTATACAAGGTCTTACGCGTGTACCTTTGACTCAACTGTTAATGCTGCCACCAAACAGTTGTGTCTTATAGCGTGAAATTACTAGGTACGGATGCGGACTACTTCAATACTTAAGAATGATAATGTATTAGGGCGCTAATAGCGTCACAGTGAGTGTGTGTTATTCTTAGATTTTCATAGTGCTACAGATGACAGTTCCTATTTATCATCAAATGAGCAGTGAGCTTTTTGCCGTTACAAATAAACAATCAAACGATAGAGCCGTGTAGGTCCCGGTATTGAATATTCCCTCTTTTCCCGTGGATGTCGTAAGAGCCGACTAAAAGAGCTTATGGTGGAGAGATGGGCAGCAGCGTCCCTCTTAAAATATCACCAAAATCCAAACTACGGTTGTCAATTCCCCTGCCAAGCGCGGCAATTACTGACAAAACCCCTTTATGATGCAGGCTATGTTCAACAGTGGACAGCTAACGGCTGAGACGTAGATACAATCTAACAATAATTAAGATATAAATAAAGTTCCAATATGCTAAACTAGAATCATATTATCCATCAGAGGGAGATTTTTATACAAAATTCGTTTGCTTGGGCACCTCTGTCCCATTCATGTTTCCACTGTAAAGCAGTTGAAACATGAATGTGACAGAGGTGCCCAAGCAAACGACTTTCACGACGACATAGTCTTTCTCTATTACACAGTCATTATTTTAGGTAAGCATATGTATTATTACTAAAATATATGTCATGATTTAACTAATATTGAACTTAATGTTCATGTATATTTATTTAGAACTACTAACATAATATCACATTTCGAAGCGCGTCACGTAAAGTCGACACTCGCATTCTTGGTAGTCGGTAAACAAAAAGGCTGCGTACGCGCAACTTCAGCACCGGCTGCCGTCCTTTGCGATTATACTGCCCATTATAGTCTATACTTGATCGCGGACCTAAGCGGACTTCTCGTTTAGATTAAAAAATACAGTGCACTGATTTTATAAGTCGCGGAAAATAAAAACTTGGTGAGTATTTTTTTTTTGTTCTATATATCTTCACGCTTTAGGTAGGGGTAAGCAAAAAGGATTATTTGTAAAATGTGTGTTTATTACAATTTTTTTTTAATATCTAGGTATATTTTCCTAAAATGAACAAAATCATTCAGAATGAACAGAATAAGAATCAAAATTTTCGAATTTTTTTTTAACAATATGTACATTAAAAACTTTTTATTAATACCTTATCCTGTTTAATAATTATTACTTATTGTTTTTATTTTATGCAAATGGGAATAGCAAATAAGTAGACTGGCTTTTAAATAAACAGTGTTGCCTAATCAACGCCTGTAGAGATGAACAATACCGTGAACGTCACAGTATATACTGCGACGCCCATTGTACCCTTCATTCGTTGTCATTTCTGATTTAATAAGTAATTATTATTTTCATTGAAATGTTTTCCTCGATGTTTTCATTGAAATTGCTATGTGAATTAATTATAGATTTTACCGTTAAGTTTTTATTGTGACACCGTGGTGATAAAGAATCATACGGCCTGTCTGATGGTAAACGGTTGCCGTACCCAAAGAATACGTTCAAAACTAGGAATGTCACGTACATGTTGCCGACCCTGAAGAAATCCTATTACATTCTTTTTGAAGAACCTCGTTCTGTATTCTCTAGGGAAAACCTCGACGGATAGCCATAAAAATATCTTTAGACCAAAATTTTATGTTACTGTAACAAACAGACGTAACTACCGTGTAGATTTTTATTAGTTATCAGTTATTTCCGCAACTTTATACGTGTGAGTTTTAGAAGTAAATAATCACTTTTAGATGATGTATCAAGATAGATAGATATATAGATACTTTCAATGTATCTGGATACCACATATACCAGATTTTAAGTTATATCTTCAGGAATACAAACATGAAAATTCAATTTGGTATTGTAACTAGATTTTGCATTTTATTGGAACAAAAACACGGACAGACAGACAAACAAAAATTGTATTTGTTTTTGTTTTCATTGCTCATATTAATTCTTATTAAATACTAACTTCTACACGCGATTTTGTCCACGATTCCGATATATGTTTACTGATCGGAATACAAATATGCCTATGTCCTTCTCCATTACATATAGTACATCTATACTAAATTTCATACTGATTGGTAAAGCCATTAAGACGTTATAAGGCAACAAACAAATTTACTTTCACATTTACAATAAGAAATGTTTTTACACGTGTAAACGTACACATAATACAATTTTAATATATTAGTAAGATATGTCAAATAAGTTTGATGATTCGTAAAGCCGAGTTAGGAAATTTATTATTTTTTTTTTGTATTGATTAAAAACTTATTAAAAATTGTATAACATGTTTGCACTACCCATTTTTAAGTGACATTTAATAGTATTCAAACGAACTATAGGTTATTTAAATATTATAAAGAAAAAGTAAGAAAAATTAATTTATATAAATTGACCCAAAGGTTTCGCCCGTGTGAAATAAGGTATCATAAAATATATTTTAAATTACGAAATAATTTAGTACATGACTAAATTCATTGAAATTTGTCCAGTAGTTTCACGTGAAAAAAAAAACAAACAAACATCAACACGGATTTAATTAATCTTTCGCGAAGCAGAATGTGAAAGTTTGTAAGGATATTTGTTGTCATGGTTTGAATATTTGTAATTGAATTATGCTTAAACGGCCGAACGATTTTTTTTTATATCGATGAACGCGAGAAACTCCGGGAGAGATAACTAGTTTATAATATTGGTATGGACTTATGTTTAGTTTTTGCGGTGTACGCGTAATATTTTACACGCGTGCACAGCAAAAACTATATATACACGTATTGACAATATTTTTGATAGGTATGCAATTTTGCATTGGTATTTCTCAATTTATATTTTTATAGGTTACATTCAATATATTAATTCGCATACTTACTAATATTATGAATGTAATAATAAATTTATTTCTTACTCTTGCACTTTAACGGCTCAACTAATTGTCATGAAATTCAGCACGGGACCGCGTGGGAAAATAGGTAAAACGTGATAGGTCTGGAACCGCCAGTACCCGCTAGTAGTACCTCCTATTAATATTATTGTTTACAGACGAGCTTTTTCAGGCAAAAAACCCTGTAATACTGCAACCTTTCCATGATTTTTTGTACTCGCCCTTTTTTAAAGGTCGTTGCTAATTCTTATCAGTGATAGGAATTTTAAGATATTCTTTGTAGCGATGTTTTTATTTCCTCAGATTATAAAGTGGTATTTTCCAAAGGAGATATATCGTTTACGTATGAGTGAGCTACAACCACAAATTAAGTGCTGCGGTATTTTTTTCTCATTATGACAAAATCTGCAAACACATTTTACGCATAAGCCAAGTTGGGCCATGTGCTTGTTTAGTTTGTAGTACCCCTTGAGAGGTTTTGTTAATATACACATTATTTTTACTCAAAAGAGTTAATTTCTTAGAGTAATTTTCTGAAAACCCTTTAATTATGGTTTCCAAGTGATTTTATCTTGGAAACAAGAGTCAGCTTTCAAGTTTGTGATGTCTGAACTTTGGGCTTCGAGGTATGCCACAATAAAGCTCAGAAGGCCAAGTCTTGTTTCTTTAGAGATAATCTTGAAATCGAAACAGTAATTCTCGAGTGAATCTCGATATTCGAAGTTATTTTCTCGAATTACGTATTCTCGGCACAAATTGAGATAAAATTTGAGACAATCTTGAGCGTAAGAGTAAATTGTTGACATTTTTTAAATATTATGATCCTACCACACGTTGCAACGTGAATTCCGTTCTTACATTTTATTTTTATTACTTAAAATTTACAATATAATAAAAAGATGTCATGTCTTTATAATATTTTAATATGAATTCTACCCGTATTTATTAAATTTTTATCAATGATTTATAAGATATTAGATTCGTCACAGTGTTCTCCTGTCCACTTATATATATTTATTAGAATGTTATTATTAGTATGTAGGTACAACCAGTGTTAATTTACAATATTTAAATTACACATTGTAAATTAACACTGTCAATAATACTGTTTTAATGTAATCAAAATTTTCAGTAGGTACATAAAAAATTAACATCTACGAATAATTATTATTCGTAGGTTAATAAAATATTAATATTGACTGTGATGTAATTAATGATAAATGACTGTAATCCATAATAGTCCTTTAGTTATATATAATATGTTTTTCTATACTTTATATATTTAGCAAACAATTTCATCATGTCTTTTTTATAGGTGTTAGTCATTTAAATAAAAATAAGATATAAAAGAAAATTTGACAATGACACAATCACTTAACATTATTTTTATTCCACACATTTGTTTATTTTATACTTTTTTTTCTATAAAAATACATACATGCCAAGATTGTTTGTATTCTCCACCATTTATAAAAAAAATAAAATATATAAGTTAAAACTCACTAATATTAGATTTAAATAAAACAAAACTCTGTCTTAAACTAAAATTAATCATTTTTATTCTTTTTCTTCATAAAATAAATATGAGCTAACTTTTTAATAATTATAACAACACAACACTTTTTACAGATATCATTTTCCAAATGAATAGAAAATAAAGTTTGAATACGAATGCCAGGGTAAATATACAAAAGCAAGAATTCCAGAACCCATAATGAATGCTGTTGTCGTTGAAAAAGCCACAAAAATTCAAAAGAAAATAGTTACGAAAAAGTAAACGAAATGAAAAAAATGCCAGCTAGCAATGTGATCGTACTTAAATTGACGATTTTACTAGAAGTTCAATTTAAAATGTGCTAAAATCTTTTAAATTTATACACACAAATATGTCCCATAAAATGTTGCACATTTGCCTAATTTTTCCTAATGTTTTACTTAAATAAATATTGTAATAAGAAATGGAATATTTTAATACTCAATAAAT